AAATTGCAAATTCCTCGCACATGTAACATCTCCATTGGGCCAAAATGCACCGATATCAATACCTCATATGTTACTTGGTTCCTCGAAAATTCTCCTCTTGGACTTAGCCTAAAAGTGTGGACACTTTTTAGCCTCCGGCGAAACCTAGAGTCTATACGGCTTCGCCGCACGACTAAAAAGGGGCGAAAAAACGCCAAAAAAAGATAAAATAGAGTTCCTTCTCAGCTACTTGATTCACTTGTTGACTGATAAATCATGATGGACATTAAACTGGTTATTTCTTTAAAAAAAATGGGAATATACATTAAGTGCATATTTTAGCCCACAGAGCAGGAACTTCAATAAACTAGAGATGATTCCAGGGTGCTTCATCATTTTAATTTTTTGCTTTCCACTACCTTTTTCTACCTTTTTCCTTACTACTCCAAAAATTTCATTTTCAGAGGTTTTCTAAAATTAATATTTTCTCCTTTGTTGTCTTCTTCTTGCTTCTTACGCAAGTGCTCACACACATTTTTTACTCTGACAGCGACGGAATTTTTTTCTCTGACTTGAGAATAAATAATTTTTTCAACATTTAAAATCGATTATTTTCTTAGTATTCTGGATGATCTTCAATATTCAGCGATGAATACATAATGAGAGCTTTAGTACTCATTCACGAAGAATGAGGTTAATTTTGGTGTAGAGCAGTGAAAAAGAACTTTGAAGTCAGAAAGTGAAATGTATGAATAGTTAAGAGATAAATAAGAATGAGCTGAAACATAATAAATCTCTGGCAGCAAGCCACCTACTCCTCCAATCAGAGCAGCTCTCAGGCAACAGCTCACACCAGCTCACCCGTGCTCACTCCGCGCCTGTCAGCCACACAGAACACACCTCTTATCTGCTTGCAATCATCGTGCAGCCGGCCAGCTTGCCCTTTCCAATGGTCCTTCTTAGGGCCATCGGAGCACTACTCATGGTCTTGGACCATAAATCAAACAGCAGAAACTTGAAACAGTAGACTACAGTGAAGAATAGCATACCTCTTCTTGAGGTGATTCTATGTGATTTAGAGACGAGATCCACCACCACGTTGCGCTGCTATGCGGTTTACGTCTTCGAGAGGCAATAATTACCAATAAGTACAAATTAATGCAAGAAACTTATCCATAACGTGTAGCAGCATTAATACTGAGTAGAGTGACATCAGATTTGACATTGAAAATTCATATTTGAAACTATGATAATGGACGTCACACATTGACTCAATGTGTAAGAGAGAGTCTTCATGGCACTATCTTTCTCTTACACATTGAGTCAACAGGCTACGTCCATTATCGTAGTTTCAGGTATAAATTTACAACGAATCTTAACAAATTTGATGTCATTCTACTCAGTATTAATGCTGCTACACGTTATGGATCAGTTTTTTGCATTATCTTGTACATTACGATGATTATAGCTTATTACAAACGTAAACCGTGAGGCAGCGCAGCGTGGTGGTGGATCTTGTCCCTCCGTCACATAGAATCATTTTAACGTTCATCTTGAAAATTGCATGAAACCTTTTAAGGGAAAATTTGTAGATTTTCTGTACTTCCATACGGAAGTTTGAAAATTGATGCTTTTACAACGTATCCATTTTTTTCTGCACAGTAGACACCTGGAATTCTTGAATAATGTTGAACAAAAATGATCAAAGATCTACCTGCGAAAATACATCCACTACAGCTTGCTTGTTCTCAGCTTGCTCTATCAGTGCTATTATCCGTGCAATCATCATTATGTTAGCTGTTTCAGGGGGATAGTGTATACTCCTGGTACAAAAAAAAATAAGTTATAATAAGACAGTACAAATTATAGATACTTAGTAGATCAATAAAATTAGGGCAAAAGTTTTTGGCAGAAAAAATATTGAGTCACACAGGTATGGTATGTACCATGGAGTCTCTACTTGATTGATTGTCGAGGGTCGGGTAATTTTATCTCACTTAAGAAAACTTTTATGTGATGCTGTTCCTACTTCAAGTCGGAGTTTTCAGGAGGAAAGCCAACTCATCGAAAAGTTGCCAAAACATGTTCAATTGTAACAGACGACAAGACAAGATCTGCACAGGAAGAAAAAGTCATATGTTTCCTCTTTAAAATATTACATAGAAAAATAATCATACAGATGGAAGTTTGGAAATCTAACCCTAAAATAAGTAGTAATAAGTATTCTTAGCACAAATCAAAGGGAATTAAAATATACAAATGATGTCATTTGTATTTTTGCTACTCGAGTTATGTTAATTGTAAACCCTCATCTTGTTTAAGAATTGATTTCCAGAATCCCTGTTGTGAGATTCATTATCCTAGTAAAATTTTGCATTAGTAACATCTTACATGGTGTTTTAATTTATATCTTGTCTAGGTAGTGTCCTATTCTGTAATTCTGTGTCTTTGACCAATCCTCTCAATACGAAAGTTATGTGCTCCGAAAGTGAGAGCCTATTCTTCAATTAAAGGTTGAATTATTTGAGATTGGGTTCAGCATCAGAGAATTCATTGCAGGTCAGTTTAACCGGCCCTAGAATAACCTTTCATAATATTATTTTGGTAGCTGTGATAAAAAAGGCCGCCTTATAAAGTTCTTGGGGAAAGTATAAAACAAAGACGGAAAAATTAAATATAACCTAAAGATTACAAACTATGACTTACTTCCACAGATCACAAAGCCGTGCCAGAGGATGATCAGCACTATGGCACACCATTCGATGGTACCTACTGTAAGCAGTTTCTTGACACTGATTGCTGCAATAAAGAACCTGAAAGGCATATATCAAAATATTGTACGGTGATTTCTTGGTAAGAAGTGGAAAATAAGTTTTGGTGGAAAAGAACTCAGAGTGTCGCTTTGTAAGTGAAGGAAAAATCAATGGCAAAATCCTAGTATTCATAAAATCTCCATTAGAAACAGTACATAATTAGAATTGGTTTGCAGCTCCAAAAATTTAGTGAAAACTTTATTCAAGACTGATGTGCATGAAGTAATGTAAGTTTGGCAGATGCTTCTCAGCTATTTGCGCCTCTCATCATCAGCTTGTTATCTACAAATATTTCATAAAAAAAATGTGAGTTGCCTGATAGACAGCAAGATACTTCATTGTCGGTAAAAAATTATTTATCTAAGTTACAGAATAATGTTTGTAGGAGGAGTAAAGAAAAAAAAAACTCACTCCACAGAAGAGGCAGGCAGTTTGCGATGACTTATCCGTTTCACAGCATTTCATGTGAGGTAAAGATATGCTCATGTTATTAGTGAGTCTCCGCACATTTTCTTCTGCAGTTTCAAGAGGCCTGTGACAATAACAATAAAATAACGAGTGTGATTAAAATTGCTTAATTCTGTTGCTAATCCATTACCTCTGACAATATTCGTATCAAGCACAGCATTCAAAATACTGAAAAAATTATGGACGCTTGGCAAAAACTTAGAAATTTAGGAACATTCAAAACCACTGCACACTTTTGCAAACATGCAACCGTAATAGTTTTTAGTGAAAAACAGGACAGCTTTAGACTATTAGGCACATTGCATATTTTCCTCTCTTCATTATCCATGAGTCCACGCAAAATAAGTTTCGAAATTTTAAGTAGACTGCAACAGAGGATCCGCCATTTTGATTCTTGCTTTTACTTTCAATGCTGAACTGACGTCTAACCATCTTCTGTTGTAGTCTAAACATACCTAAGTAAACTTATTTGGCATGGACTCTTCTCTGAAGTAAAACTACTGGGTCATCACTTCATCAGAAAACTCTAAATTATCAGCAGACGTTCACTTTGGTTTTTTAATTGATAGGACTTATTAAGCGTATTTATTAAAAAAAAAAAAAAAACCCCTTATCACCAGAAAAATTTGACTATTCCGCTGCTAAAATGCTGTATCCTTGCGAATTTATCCTTGCGGTGGTTTCTTCATTTCTGGATACGAAGGGTCAATTCAGATTTAAAAAAAAGGAGAATTCTTTAACTTATTAATCAGAATGGCAACAGTCATTACCGGAGACAGTGATCACAAGCTAAGTATTTGTAAGCAGCATTCCACAAAAACTGACAAGAAACAACTGGTTCTTCTTCCAGTATGATATCTCCTTCGTTGAAAGTTTTCAAAGCAAACAGTGCCTTTCCCTGCAAGAGAAAGGTTGAGATTAATGGCTTTTAATCAGTAAAAAAAATTCACAGACAATGTTGAGGCAAGGCAGCAGGAAACCAGTTTATTATGGCAAAACTGTTAGCAGTTGTCTGAACATAGCTACTTACCCAATCATATGGCCGTGTAACAGAAGAGAGTCACAATAGCATTTCTGTATGAGCTACAGTTAGCACATGCTCTCAAGTGTCTCTATGTTCATTCCAGACTGTACTTACCACTGTGCTTACCGCTTAACACAGCAGCATATGGCTCCATTCCGTTTTAGTTTAGTCCTATCCACAAGACAAACACATGATTATGAAAATCAGCCTACTGCCCATAAAGAGTGATCTCTGTTACTTTCAATGTTAAGGTGATTCGATGGACGCCATATTTTATGTCAGAACGGCATGCGATATATCACATCAATTGGTTCCATTTTTTCAGCTCCTCGTCATTATTCTCCAATTTTGAGATCGCAATTCTGTTGTCAAGAGACTAAAGCACTCACTTACCAATTTTAACAAAGAAATTCAACGTAGTAAAGGCGTGGTTTTATCGGAGAGAAAATATCGCATTCCAGTGCAGGTTCGATATTGGTATCGAAAGCGATGTTTTCTCTCTGAAAAAGCCACACCTTTATTACGTTGAATTTCTTTGTTAAAATTGGTAAGGGAGTGCTTTAGTCTCCTGACAACAGAATGGACCACTAGACAAGGTACGAATTTAAGCATTCTGATACATTTTTTTTAACCAAAATTTCACGTAAAACACGATGCGCACAACAAAAATTACCGAAATTAACTCCTTACAATGATATTAAATGAGTCCTGATGTGTGAATTCAAACCACCCGCTCATTAAAACTCAATGCTCTACGTGATTCACATCGCGCGCTGAACATTATCATGACAGTCTTTGCGATATAAAAATCTGACAACCTCAATTTTGACCCTTGCGGGCTCAGCTATAGTAAATTGATTATAATTTGAACAACACGTGGTGGGTTATGAACAGTGATCGATTGAGAGGCTAGCTGAAACTGTTGTGGTGCGCGATTTGACTCACGTAGAGCTTTGAGTTTCTTGTGAGCGGGCAGTTCAAAATCCGCGTAACCAATGTGAAATAAAAAGGTTAATATCTTCATCAGGAGCTGGTTTCAGTAATTTTCGTTGCGCGAATCGTGTTCTACGTGAAATTCTGGTTAGGAAACATGTATCAGATTGCTTGAATTCGTACCTTGTCTAGTGGTCCATTGCGATCTCAAAATTGGAGAAAAATGACTAGTAGCTGAAATAGTGGAGCCAATGGATGCGATATATCGCATGCCGTTCTGACACAAAATATGGCGTCCATCGAATCACCTTAAATTCGTTGCTATGCTTCCGACAAATTCATTTTTGTGGCTGAACTTGGTAAACGTTCATCTTCCTTGGATGAGTGGATATAAGGAACTGAAATCCCACATGGCAAGGAGATATCTAGAAATTGATAAGAGGCGGAAGAGTGAAATGCTGTATTACCTTTGACGGGGTAATTCTTATTTCATAGTCGGAATTCATGACTGAAGAGGACGGCTGGACAGAATCAGTCAAACAGATTGAGGCAGGATGCGATTGAAACAGCTATGCGGATTTGAAACAGGCAAAACCGTCTAAGACGTGGGGACAAACCAATCGGAGGAATTCACATTGAATCTGTCAGACAAACAGGATGATATGTAAGAGTTACTTGGAAGAGATCAAGAAGACTCACAATATTATTGAAAGAACCTTATTATCACGTGGAGTGGTTGCCTGCCTTCTTCCTCGTGCGTGCACGAAATTTTCAAATCTCCTAACCTTTCATTCCTCGTCGGTTGGCGCTTCATTTTTGGAATTCGGGATCTAGGGAGATTTTTCCAAGAATTTTCAGATTTTGGAATTATGAAATGGAACGAACGTAAACAAACTAGCGTGATTTTGTTGGATTTTGTGGATTTGCTGTGTTGTGTGATAATCAGTTTTAAAACATCAATTAGTTATAATTTTCCGTGCTTTTCAGTTGTGTTGGTCTAATGTTTCCTCAGGTCTAATTAAATGAAAGTTCTATATTTTTATCTCTTCTATAATGATGATATTCGAGAAATTATCCAAGTCAGTAACGATGAAGTATCCAGGGTTCTATTGTACGAATCCCACAAATCTAATGTATCTGATACCAAAACTCATAACATTTCAAACGGTCAAACAGAAAACGCTCTCAATAAGGACGTGTGTGAACCAAATTTATCATGTGGCGATTGTAGGAGCACTAATGATGTAAAAGGAACAAGCAGAAAATTTTCAGAATGTATCAGCACCACTGTCAAAGTTTTCAAGATTAGAAACACGATTACAATGGATCTTTACCAGCTATCATATTTTCATTATTTATTAGGTCAGTCATTTTGTTACCGTCATAGTACCATAGAAAATTTTGGAAAAGACATCAAGCTGAGGAATCATGCTCCTCTACTCAAAGTTAAAATAAAATTGCTGATCAGCTCACCTTCGTACCATGTTTTGGATTATCTATGGTAAGCATTGACGTAAAATTAGTATCAATAAAGCTATTTTGCTCATGAATTTCAGATCAAAAAATGTCCCTCTTACTAGAGTCATCCAATAATCCTCAAGTATCTATTTAATTCAATCTCTTTAATTGCCTGATGATGTATACATCTTATGCAACCTAAAATGCCAAATATGGTTGAAACATGGCTTTGTTCGGAGATTTACAGTTTCCAATGTTTAAGTACTATTTCAAGGCACTTTTCTGATGCATGCCTTGCTAGAGTCCGTGCCAGTTAAATTTACGCACTTTAAGACTACAACAGAAAATCCGCCATCTTGATGCTTGCATTTTCTTTCCTCAAAAAAATGATGTCAAACGATCTTCTCTCATAGTCAAAAAGTGCATAGTCTCATTTGGCGTGGACTCTACATGAGGAGTACAATCAGTGGCTGCCTCTAAAATCTTCAAGTAATGTTACCATCAGTTTTTGAAATCACGAAAGTGACATGACAACTTCAAATTTTACTCACTGATTGCTGGTTGTCACTCTTTTGACAGGAAATATTTTCATATACCAAAAGTGACCTGAAGTATATTTCTGCACGGTGACTGAAGGGGCCATCTACAAACAGATCCTAAGGAAAGTGAAAAAATCAAGCCTAATTCACACTATCAAACTTTTCATCCAACTCTTGGATGCAACTTGTCAAATGAAAAGTTGGATAGTTTGATACTGACGAGAGAACCACAATTTGATGAAAAATTGAATGGAAACTTGAATGAAAAGTTGGAACGAAATCTTCCGACGGACATGAGCCGAAGCTGTATCTTCGAAAACTGCAGGCTGATGACGATATCAGACAGCAATGGTCATTGAATCAAATTCTTTTGCGTCGAACTTTCCATCCAGCTTTTCGTTCAATCATGTCAGGTGAAAAATTTGATTGTGTGAATTGGGCTTTTGAAATCCATGGAGTCCTGGTGTGACGTTCTCTGAGGCCTCACTCTTGAAATTACAAATTAAAAATGAAGTGTAACACACCACTTGAAATCACATGAGTCTATTCATTGTACAATTGATTAGAGATTCTCATTCACATGCTGAAAAATTCTCATTCTTTTGGTTTTCAAACAGGTAAGTATAATATGTTGATATTTTTAACTTTCATTGGCAATCAACTCGGGAATTTTTTTTTTTTTTTTTTGCCCCCAACACAATATTTTGTATCTCCATTGAATTTTTCTTTATTTTGATCTGTTGAATTTAGGTGCCAACGTCTGGAAAGATTGTGCTATGAGCGGCAAGAGTTAGAGACAGCCATGGCCTGGCTCTCCACCTTAGGCGGTGCATTTTCTGCTTTGGGTGACAAGCAAGAGCAATGTGTAAGTAGTCAGTGAACTTTATCATTATTGGAGCTCATTTTTAGGTGGACGCATGTTTGTTTTAAAATATAACTTCTTCCCTGGTCTCGGTTTCCACTCTTCATTCACCAAGCATTCAGATTTTCATCCTTCAATATCAAAGATCTTGAAGTTATCTGCAATTTGGATCTCTTTTCACTGTTGTATCATCTCTCTATGGTGCTTATCCTCTTTGCAATGAGTTTTTAAGATGGTTTCTGTCACTGTGCCTGAAGAACCACAGGAAGAGGCAGCCCGTGCGTGGGTCACGAAAGATGCAAGCTCAGGGTCAGTCTTTAAATTCTTGGATGATAAGCTTTTTCTCATTAAAGATAAGATCACAAAAAACCAAGAGATGGTCTGTCTTTATCGTCATTATGTCTGGTACTTTTTATTTATTTACAAGAAAAAAATACTTAAAAAATGTGCCCCGAACTGCATGTAACTGTGTTTGCAAAATAATGTGGGCCCAGCACCATTTCACTACCTTATTTATTTATTTATTTATTACATTTTCCTGTGAGCAATAGCCCCTTATCATTTTTACAGTACGAGTTTTATAGAATCTGGCAACCAAACGAAAAAGAACAAGCAATTTACGATGATATATGTTAATAACAAAGTAGAATCCAAAATAAAATCTCTTAACTAAAAACTGAACGCAAATTGTCTCAAAATCTATTAAAAGTAAATAAATAAATAAAAACAAAAACACCAGTACCAAAACCCAGAATCAGAATCACAACTCTTCATTCCACTAAAGTTTATCTGAGAAACCCTTTACACTGGGATATGATCATCTCACCGATATCAACTCCTATTGCATTGACGGCAGAGCTTGATGCGGAGATCACCACCACCTAATGATTTTAAAAGTCAGGTTTTCGGACTCTAACTACTGATAATTCAAATGTTTACTTTTTGTTCCAGGCTGTGATTGCTGGAAAAATATCTGTGCAGCAGTTGAGGAACGCTATGAGGTTAGGTGATCCTCTTACTGTTGCACGCTGCAAGCTCTATTTCTCCTTATCGCTTATCCAGCAGAGAAAATTCAGACCAGCCAAACATATCATCAAGGAACAATATCAGCTAGCGATTGCAAATGCAGAAAAAGACTTCAAACTAGTTCGGATGTGCCTTGGAATTTGGTCCAAGCTCAAATATGAAAAGAAACACAAGAAGAGTAAAATCAGCTAGTAATTCGGCCTGAGAGAATATAAAATTCCTTCGTCGCCATTAGTTGTCATTCTAAAATCCTATTTTGAACCAAACTAGTGTGGAGAACAGTGAAATTATTTTTGGGTTGTTGTCTGCATATTGAAAGTGGTCTTATTAATTTATTTTTTATTTTTTAAGTGGAAAAATTAAGCCCAATTCACACTATCAAACTTTTTTAATCCCTCACTCCGTAATTTTTGGAGAACAGCTGTGAACGTTTTTCAAACAGATTTGAATGGAAATTTTTGAGAACATTTCATCCGCTTCAAATTAATGTTGGCAAAGTCAAAGTAAAATTTATCAGCATGTAAATAGACTCTGAAATAATTTGCACCTAAATTTACTGGCGTATGAAGAAAGTTTGTGATAAGTTGTTAGTTTCGTTGTGATAATTTTTTATTTTCATTTTTCATTTTAGCTCAATTAGAATTGAAAAGCTTATTTAAAAAATTTTTAATTTGAATAATTAATTTGCGAAGAGGTAAACTCATACATTAAAAGGCACCAATGTTAATTCTGTTCATTGAGACAGCTTTTTAATGTGTCATTGGCATTTTTAATTTTTTTTTAAATGTATGCATCCACTTTTCACAACCATTGAAAAGTGAAACACGCCGTATAATTTTTCCAAGGATTCATTGTCAGTAGAATTGACCACTAATGAGTCGAAAATTTGAAACTTAGTTTTCCAATTCTTTTTCATAAAATATCAAATTTTGCAGCCATATTGAAAAGTATTCTTCTCATCGACTGGTTTCTTGCAGTTGGATTGCATCTGCGTTTGGTCTCCTCAGTCTTGTGAAGATTGTCAATTGCGTTTTTTTTGTTAAAAGGTTGTTGATAACATTAATTAAATAAATCAAAAAACACTTCATTCCATGATTTTTTCTTCTATTTTCATTGAAATCTGTCCCTTAACATTACTTTACCAGGATTTATAGTAGACAACCACACTATTTGAACATTTTATATTGTACATTTACTGCATCACACAAATCCTTTTTACAAGAACAGTTACTACTGCTTTTTAACATTTCGACGGTGTACCTAAGCCGGCAATTACACAACTCGGTTTGCGACGTCGCGGACTTCTTGTCATACTTTATTTTTTAAAAGGAAAAATACTCAACAGCAACTCTTTAAAACTGTCATGATTTTTCTTCTCAATGTGAAGAAAATTCTGCAAAAATTTCAAGAAATAATGTCAATTTGTTCTCCTTCAAAAAAATGACGCAGAGGCGGAGATTTTTAGACACCGCAAACGAGTTATGTGATTGCCAACTTTCACCGTCGATTTTTCTGTTTTTAATGCATAAAATGTATTTTGTTAATAAGTAGGTACATATTTTCGATTTCCACTACCAAATAATTTCCTTCAGAGAACATCAAATTGCAGAATTTAACCCCAATTCAAACGGTCAAACTTTTCAATGTGCAATAGCGCATGGAAAGTTGAATGCAAAAAAACTTGATGCTACTATCGCTGCCGTGTAATATCGGCATTTGGGTATTTCTGTCAGCTTTCGGTTCGTGAAGATACAGCTTTGGCCAATGTCGGTAGGAAGATTTCGTTCCAACTTTTAGTTCAACTTTTCATCTGTTTGTTGTGTTCTTGTTTCAGTATCACACAATCTAACTTTTCATGACAAAAGTGGAAGAAAATTCGAACGATAATTCGTTAGACCAATTTTTCAAGTTCAGCTTCCAGTCGAATCTAAAATGTGCCTGGTAACAATTTTATGTCCGATTATATCAAAGGTAATCAGAAACTGAAGGCAAATTTTAAGATCTCTGATTATATTCCATTACTTAAAGAAGAAATGTTATTCCAAATAGCTCTCTGAAATGTTTCATGAATATTATTGAATGATGTAGGAAGAAAATTTACAGAAAATTTCCGGAAAAAGGGCTAGTTCTCTTTCTCTACCAAAAAAAAAAAAAAATAAAATAAAATAAACGCGAGCAGACATTTGCAATGTCACAATTGGTTCGTATTTTTCAACTTTCTGAATCAATCATCAAGTGAAAATTGTTGAAAGCTGGCCACTTCCTTTTCCCAGTCAAATGTAAGCATGGAAACAAAATTTATATGGGCAAGCAGATGGTAGTGCATGTTCAGATAGTTTCTAAATCTCGAGCAATTTTAATCTTTCAGGTTATTGTTATTCCAGATTTTACAGTTTGGAATCGTTAAAAACCAGTTGACTCAGTACTCGACAAGTCGACACTCGTCTTTTCTATCTGTCGATGCGTCAATTCAAAAATTGGCGCTCTAGGAAAATGTATGGGTTCTAGCAGCGGTACCAACAACAGCTTTTCCGAACTACGAGTGCACTGAATCCTCGATTAGTTCGATTTGCCCTTAATTGAACATTTGATCTCCTTAAAATGTCTGTAATTAAGGATTTAAAGTTCCTATAATGAATAAGCGTGTTATTCTTCTCTCAACTCGGTGGATTCTTCGACGGTGACCAACGGTGACTCAAAGTTGAGTGCAAGTGAATTTTCATTAATATTGCATCATTTTGGCCGAGTTACTTCGTTGGCGAGGAGGGGTGGGGGAATAATAAGGTTATTGACGCTGACGGCCATTGGCCATTATTGTAAACAAAAATATTTGTCACGGCTCAATGCCATATTGTGAATCATCAGTCATTAAACCGCGATTTTCTTATCTAATTCTCAGAAGTTATTTATTCAGTCCACCAGTCTCGTATGTATTCTCTTATTCATGCAAGGAGTGGTCCCACGACAATCGCCTGTCATGGGAATTGTCAACTCACTGTCCTCAATGATAACAGAAAACCCTATCACACTCAGTTTTAGTTCTTCATGATCCTCAGTTTCCAGACTCCATTGAAATCTCTTCATCATGTCCTTTTGCAAACTAAATACCCAAAAGTCGCCGAGTGTCTTGGAACAACTGATCGAGGAAATCAACTTTCAGAGGGTCAAGGAAATGAGACAAGTCGTCAAGGATGGTAAGCTCATGTCTGGTGCGGCATCACAATATTTCACTTCTATGTCCTTGGTTTCAAGTCATAAGTTAAGGACATCACTAAAACTGCCGGGTTGCAATGTTTACACAAGCATTTTCAACCCAAGTAAAAGACCATTCATGGGAAATTAAGTAGGGACCTTGGCTCACCTCTAATCTCAGAGGCTGAATATTCCGGACAGCAATTTTTCAAGTTGGATCAAAGAATCGAACCTTAAGGCATGGATAGAAGACTCACTAGTTTCCAGTAATTATGATGCTAACGCTTTATTTTATTCGTGCATCAAGGGTGAGGGCAAAGTTGCATCAATCTTATAATTTTGCACACTGGACACGATGATTTGTGTCGATACTGCACCGCATACTGACATAATTCATCAGACCTCGATTCTTTTCGTCTATCTGATCTTACAGGCTTTCGAGGAAAAAGTAGCTCTCCTCAGATATCACTTTGATGTTGCAACAATTTCATAAAGCACCATGTGATTAAACGCCGAAAAAATAACTTTTCTGCCCTATATTTCTGTTATTCTTATTATTTTATATTGTTTCTGTTCAAGGAGAACAAGACTTATATAATAACGCTCTTGCAACTCTTTGCAAGATAAACAGTGCATCAAATGTCATGGCAAAAATAAGTTGCCAATTGTGGCAATGCACCTTGTCAATGTCTTTTCGCCGATAAAAATTGAAGTTTCAGTCTCTTTTTGCCATTTTTGTGATCGTTATTAATTCCTCTCGCAGAATATAGAAGGTGAATCTACGATCATAATTTATGGCTGAAAATTATTCCTTTACTTCAAAATCAGAGTTGGTGACTGGCAACAGAGGAGACATTTCCAGTCCTTGAAATCTCATATTTTTAAGTCATGGTATTTTTCAATTTTTTTCTGCAAGAACAAGTTCAGGGCTATAAGTCTTTTCGATTTATTTCTTAGACTTTCAATCACTTTGCCCTAGGTGTATCGTTGATAATGCATTGCGACATGACTATTTCTATCATTGTGAAATCACTCTTGTATATATTACTGAACAGTTGTTACTTGTAAGTAGATTGGTACTTGTAAGGAACTTTATAGTTTAAACTACAAAGTTCCTTGAGAATGAATCTAAGTACCTAAGTTTTCTTTTTTCTTACAGATTCTGGATTTGTAATGCTGCAAGGATCATCTTATTGGACCGACTTGTTCGTTCGTCATTTCCTGTTTCAAGCAGAACACTCAATCGACTGTGATGATCTATTATTTTTTGTGCGCAAAAGACATGTGAAAGGATCATCCCGGTTTCTGCCAAAATTTCATGTGTGTACCTAATTTTTAAGTCCTTCTTACTATTGCATCATGACCTGCCGATGAATCTTGTTTACCTCTATCTTAAAATCTTACCGTTTTCATCAAGATTGAACCTTGAAAGACAGTACTGTCCACTCCTCATCAAATAGAAAGTGTAAAGCACTAGACAAGGTCTAGTGGCTCCTAGTGGCTTCCTAAGGAGTCGAATCGAAATTTCCCTGAGGACATCTTGACACCTGGAGTATCTGGACCCTTGCTTAATATACCTCTTTGGGCTAGCAGTGAAGAGACTTCAAATTATATTTTCCGTAAGCCTTTATTTCTCCCTCTGACAAACCCATTTTATTCTTTGGAAAAATAAAGAATGAACAAAAAGTCAATCTCTGGAAAAGATATTTTTTTCTCCCCAAAAGAAAAACATTACTATCCATAAAATTATTGTCAAAGCCTCATATGCATTGAAAATATTGAATTCTTGTTGATTTTAAGCAACAAAATTGGAATTAAATTTTAAAACATTTTCATCAAGGACTCTTTTGAATTTATCCCATATTTTTTTTTGTTTCAGACTGAAGTTGATGTGTTCAGAAAAGATAGTCGAAGGCTACCTGTCGGAGACCCAGACATAGATTGGGAAGAAACAGTGTATTTAAATTTGATAATTCATCAATTTGATTACACTTTAACTCTAGCTGTTTGTACACGCACCAGCCCCAAAGAATTGCAAGTTCTGAAACGACATTCTCAAGTAATTAACTCAGTCACCTATTTTTTTCACTACTCAAAATTTTTTGTGATTTAAGGAAAAATATCAAAGAGCAAATGAAGGATCCTTCAAAAAAAGCGAAGCATTGGGTGCAGAAAGGGCATTTCTTGGTTGCGATGTCTCCTAATTTTCACTGCTAATTAGTATTCTAGAATGGAAACTATTTATTAAATTTTCTGAAGCATCCGTTTTATTAGTATTGTAAAATCATGAAGGAAATTCAGTAACAGTTTCAACAATTTCCATTCATTTGTTTTAATTAATGGATGAAACATTTTCGGAGATTCTGAAACACTGCAACCATAAAGTACCCTCTCTGCACCCAGCACCTCATATGCATTTGACGTTGTCACGATTTTTTAGCTTTCAATGTAAATCTTTATCAGCCAAAAATATTCATTTTTGCATGTTTGCCCTCTAAAATTTTTTAATTTCATTGAATAATTTTCCAGAATATTTTGCGCAAAGTGAAGCAAACTTTTTTTGGATTAAAAAATCGGCAAAGTTACAAAATCTTGACAATACTAAATATATACAGGGTGTACCAAAAGTCCATCCCACCCCTGCTAACTTTTGAACGAATTGAGCTAGGGTAATGAAACTTTGGGAATGTTCCTATCTCAATGGGGACCATCTTTTGAGGGGGTCAAAATTTTGGTCCCCCCTCAGGGGGGGCGCGGGGGGCCCCCAACTTTTTTTTTTCTCAAATGACAACCCCTATCTTGTGATACATCATTCAAAAGAGCATAAAAAACTAAGAATTTTGGCGCAAACCGCAGATCAATATCTTAATTTTTGACCGAGTTATGATAGGTCAAAGGTCAAATTTGACCTATTTTCAAAAAATCATAACTCCGGTTCAAATTATCGTAAAGAAAAAAATAAAACGGGAAAATCTACCAAATTGTGTCCGCTTTTAAGTAAAAATTGCAGAAATCACTTCGCTGTAATTTTAAGGGGGGGCTTGGACCCCCAAATACGTCAATTCAAAGGTCATTCAATTTTCCCGCGAAAAAAGGCAATTTCCCCTAGATTTGCCTCCACATTATCTCAGTAAGGTCAAAATTAGTTCAACATTACGTTGGCAAGTCCCCAAATTTCGGGAAAAGTTAAAAAAAAAACGAAATTTAAATGGTCAAATTTAATCACCTTAAATTTCGTTTTTTTTTAAACTTTTCCCGAAATTTGGGGACTTGCCAACGTAATGTTGAACTAATTTTGACCTAACTGCGATAATGTGGAGGCAAATCTAGGGGAAATTGCCTTTTTTCGCGGGAAAATTGAATGACCTTTGAATTGACGTATTTGGGGGTCCGAGCCCCGCCTTAAAGTTACAGCGAAGTGATTTCTGCAATTTTTACTTAAAAGCGGACACAATTTGGTAGATTTTCCCGTTTTATTTTTTTCTTTACGATAATTTGAACCGGAGTTATGATTTTTTGAAAATAGGTCAAATTTGACCTTTGACCTATCATAACTCGGTCAAAAATTAAGATATTGATCTGCAGTTTGCGCCAAAATTCTTAGTTTTTTATGCTCTTTTGAATGATGTATCACAAGATAGGGGTTGCCATTTGAAAAAAAAAGTTGGGGCCCCCCGCGCCCCCCCTGAGGGGGGACCAAAATTTTGACCCCCTCAAAAGATGGTCCCCATTGAGATAGGAACATTCCCAAAGTTTCATTACCCTAGCTCAATTCGTTCAAAAGTTAGCAGGGGTGGGCCGGACTTTTGGTACACCCTGTATGTGCTCTTTTTCTGAATGACCCTTAACCCCTGAATATGGTAAAAATCTCAAAGTTAAAAAAATTTAAGGATACGTTTCACAACACTCATTCCAATTACCTTCAAAGTGATTATTTGTCGGCACTGTACAAAAAAAAAAAAAAAAAGTCTGTTTGGAGCGGTGCCCTTATTTATTTAAAAAGAATTATGTCATTAACAACTGCACAACACAAATGTAAGAGCAAAAGCTATGCATGGTGATCTAGTGTCACTATCTGGAAGAATTTAAATTAGATCATACCGATAAAATTCAATAACATTCCTCTTACTTGCATTACTTACTTACTTACTAAGGGTGCTACAGCCCGAGGTGGGCTTTGGCCTCCAAGACGACGCATCTCCATCCTACTCTATCCATGGTCTTTTCTTTCCATCCTATCACTTTCATAACTCTAAGATCTTTTTCCTTGATCCATTCTCTTTAGGTTGATTTATCCGTAAGTTGTCGGGGTACCAAGGCTTCATCTTGGTTTTCACAGCCTGGGTGTTTTTACGTGGTAGAGTTGCTAGCCCTATGCACAACCCTCCTCTTTTTCCTGACCTTGGGACCAACCAGAGAAAAACAACTTGCCTCTAGGAGGAGTTCCTCTTACTTGCATACGTAGCCATAAAATATCTGAACCTCATTTTTAAAGTTTTGGTGCTGACGTCTTTGCGAAGTAATCAGTTCACTTATTGATGAATCTAAAAATAAAGTGTGATTCCTTCTTCTTATGCTGATTGCAGAAAGTCTTTGCCTCCCCAAGTAGGCGAAAAATGGACACTAAAGGAGAAAATGAGGAAATGACATACCCATATGTTTGTTTCATGGTGGACAATTTTAACGAAGTAAGTGTGAAGTTGCTTTAAAAAAAGGTACAAGGGGGATTCAATTAGTTTTTTCACCCACCTTGTCATCTCCACAAAAATCGTCGGATTTTCAAAAACTGAAGATATTTAGGAAGTGTGGTGTATACCTGACAAGCCTGTGCAAACTACAACTCAATTTATTTGCCGTTTCTTAATATAATGTATTTCAATTTATTTTTTGGGCTCCAAAGACCCGCTAAACGCTTCTCTTAAAACGAAATTATACTGTTGACTCATCTATTAAAAACTTATTGCGCAAATAAAAGACCAGAAGGTCTGTTTACACTGGCTCTCACTTTTGTACTACATCAACGTTTCATAAAAAGTTATTTTTCTGGAAGAATTTGTCGCAAAAAAATAATGTTTTCCAGCATTAAGAAGTCACAGATGATCTCAGAGTTTCATGTGAAGGTTATAAGAAAATTTAAGAATTAGTAATTTTTAAACAAATTGAGGCAGATTAGCTGGATACACTTTGAATACAACTGTCAAACGTTGGGTGCAATAATCTCTAAGACATTCTTATCTGAATATGAAAACAATTTGTTGCTTCCATAGGCTTCTCTTTGCGGTACTTTAATCTTGACTAATGATGAATTCTGTTGCAGGTTTTCTGCGATATTTTTGTCCGAGATGGAGAAATGGTGTGTGTTGAACTTGTTGCCTCTGATCATGAGGGCTCTGTGCAGAGTGTCATATTTCTTGGCTCTATCAGATATGATGCTCTGAAAAAAGTCTATGATGCTAGGGTAAGCTTTTATCCAAACTTTGCAGTGATTTTATCTGAATTTCCACTAATCAAAGAATAGATGCAGGGGACCAAACAGCAACTCTTGAAAAATAAGACATACCTATTAGGAGCTATTCTCATTCCTTGACTTTCAAGTCAAACTCAATCACAGGAATCTTTCTTTCGGCGACTGGGAAATATTAATATTTTCAAAATAATATCATCCCATCTAAAGTTTCAAAAATATTCATAGTTTTTTTACTAACTTGTGCTGGAAACTCTATCATATTTTGCCCGTGTCTTTATTACTGGCTGGTAATGCATTTCGATGGCGGAGGAACAATGCCGAACTGAACATTTTGGCGAAAATGAGTCAACATATTTGCTGCATTCTACAGTATAAAATATGCAAGTTGGTGTTTTTAATTTTTTCCAATTTTGCATGAGAGCGCTGTAATGGCCCTATAATCTTTATAACTATACCTCAAAATTACTTAAGTTTCGCAAAGATTTTTTCTTATCCTATAAAATCTCCGTTGCAAGATGGGTGGCATTGTTCCTTAGCCATTGATTTTTACTGATAGGTGGTATTGTTCCTTAGCCATTGATTTTTACTGATAGGTGGTATTGTTCCTTAGCCATTGATTTTTACTGATAGGTGGTATTGTTCCTTAGCCATTGATTTTCACTATGGTGTAAAGCCTGACCTTTGGAATAAAAAAAGAAATTGGCTTTTCTTTGAGAAGGCTCGTCTTTGTGAGTTTGGAAGGAGTATTTGCAGGATGGATGCTCCATTTAACCTATTGAAAGATCCTCCTGAAAAAAAGCATTTTCGGTTTCTTTTCTAAGAACCTTTGAATTTAATCGACCCCTGGCTAAAATGAAATCCTAGGACAAGCTCATCCTCTCTTAAGTGTTTTAACTTGAGTTCAAAGCTGGTTTCAGTGCCACAATTTTTTAAACTATTATATTGTCCAATCGTCAAAAAATGCCCATTTAAATGATAAAATTGTAACTTGGCATGATTGTACCTCTAAGAAGAGCTTTGAACTAAAGCTAAAACTTCTAGTGGAGGCTTTCCTCTATTCAAGTTCTAATTTGAGCCACTTATCAATGAGACCTCTGAGTTCTAAGAAGCCGTTTGGAGGCTCCGCATGACTTTCAACAAAATCTTATGTGATGGCACACTCGGTTACAACGTTGGTTGAGCCAGAATCATTTCTGGGGTTCTGAAAATGTGTCACCTGAGCCACTGGAGAACAGTTCTTTACTACTAGAATACATGGCGATGTCCGGTCATCTTGTCTGATTATATTTAGTGCTTTATTTTCTTATATATTTCATCTTGAGAGTAGCATTGCAACATTCTGATTTACTTATAGTAAAACTCTCTTTGATTTCTAGATGAGCCTTAGTAGTAAAATGGCACAACGAATGACCTTTGGTCTTTTCACTGGTAGCTCTCAAAGAGTAGAATTTGTCCGCATGAAAGGACCTGAAGGGAAAGGCCATGCAGAAATGGCTGTGACAAAACCTAAAGGTAATTTATGTGTTCCATTAACTTTCTTCTATTGATATTTCTTAAATTGTTCCTCTTTTAAAAATTCAATACCTTTTCGGATAGTCTATCAATTGTGACGAAAGAAGGTGCAGAATAGGTGCAGAGGCTTTCTCTCATATTACTTCCATCCCTGTTCCATATGTGACCCCTATTTCTGTCACAGATTTTGATGTTTAAGAGGTAAAATTTGTCGGCTGACTTTTAAAGACTACAGAAAATCTGTGCATTTTATTTTCTCTTTGAATCCAAATAGAACAAACATGATGGCAGATCTTTTACTTCTATTTAATATTCCATTAACAAATTCAGTGAAAACTGAATATTAGCATTGTATCAAGGCATACTTTGCTATCATTATTAGAGCCTTTTGTTGCTGATTAAAATGATATTACACATATTTTTCCAAATTAAAGAGTTTTTGAGGCACTTTGAATTGTTTTAATAATGTAATGTCCCAACTAAATTTTGATCGGAGTGGGGCTGAAAGTTTCTTCGTACAAAACTGGATACTGTACATAACTGTATACTGTACATAACTGTATATTGTACATAACTGTATACTTTAGATAACTGGACTTCAATTGAATCCCTTTTGCAAAGGAGCCCTGGAAGTTCTTAGACCTTCTCGAACGGCAGTAGTGCAGTGTTCTAGAGCTCTGCTTATTTGTCGAGATGTCTGGGGTCAATTACTGAAACTTCTATTTTAATTTATTCTACAGTTTTGTGATTCATCTATTTCATTTTTTCTTACTTTTTCCTACTTGTGTATGCGATCATCTGTCTCCCAAGTTTTCATGTAATAAATGACAATTTTTCATTACTTTGATCAACAATGATCAAATACTGGTGCTCCCGATTGGAAGGAAGATGAGTACATATTTAATACAAAGAAAATCAAGGAAAAATAAAAATAACTATTACAGAGGTTTAATTGAATTTGTGGAGAAATTTTGGTAATGGATAGCCTGATAACAGAGCTGACTCACGATGCTCTAGACCACTGAGTAACAAAGCTTGGGAGGTAAAATAACATCATTTTACTACTTTAGCAAGCATCTTTCTTTTGCAATTTTTCAAAGAAATATTTTGACACTCTTAGATCCTTTCATGAATTTTGCAAAATAGGGGTAGAATAGTTTTATATGAAGAAACTTTCAGTCACACTCCTTCCACAGTATAGGTGGGACTTTTTCCTCAAGTTTATTCTTCGCTCATGAAATCTGCTTCGCTGTTAATAGCAAAAATTTCATCGGGGAATGTGAGAGCATTATTTTTGAATATTCTTTTATTGGGCTCTTTGCAGGATGTACAGCAGAAACGCCTACCTCTGAACCAGGTTATTCTATCACCGACGGCTGGGACTCAGATTGGGAGGACGATGCTGAAAATTACCATTCGTATCGATATCAAGTGAGCAAACTCATTTCTCATACCTTCTAATTTCTGCTAATATGTCTGATATTTAATAGAGGAAAAAAAGAACTAAAATTATTCTCTGAATACTGTTCAGGAACAGGATATGTGATGGTCCACAAGTATAGAAATCGTAGTCTACAAACATTCAAAATCAAGTTATTGATATTATTGCATAAAGGATTGATGACTGGAAAATGTCAAACTGTACCAGAATTGTAGGTTTTTGGTTTATGCAATTTTAAAATCCTTCGAAGAAAAAGCTATGAAAAATCGTATTGTGCCAGTATTATAATAGTCCTGAATATGTGTATTAATATGGTTGCCACTCTGCGTGGCAATTTTGAAGAGTCAAGTTGGTAATTTTTAGTGTACATAGGGCAACTTTGCTCGTGTATCCAGTCATACCTCTGCATTGAAAGTCATAGTGAAAGTAAATGTGGATTCACTTCCAAAGTGTAGACTATTTTTTTCGCTACAGCCTCTATTTATGAGCTGTTTTTGCGCTTGGAAATTACTTTTAAAGAAAGTCAATGGCTTCATCCAGTTTTTTGGGTGAAATTTTATTTAAGAATGGATAAATACATGGAAAATCCCAGCTGCAACAATTCTTTTCCCGTAAGAGATTTGTCTTCTTTTTTATTTTTATGGTAAAGCACATCAAATAATGACATTACAATCATAACATATGTCCAATAATTTCCTTTCAGCGACGTTTGAGTGACCCTAGTGCAAATTTAGACACATTCATGCGAGCCAGTTGGCGACCCAAAGAAAACTCGGCAGGAGCGCGAGCACGGTCAGAAAATGAGGGCCTTGATTCGTTAGCCAGTGGACTGGCCGAAATTGAAGCTGGAGATGTTCGTGATGGTAAGGGTGATTATTGATTCTTTCTACCCTGCAATCTATTATTTTTGCAATCAGTGATGTTTTTAACCTTTATTTGTAAATGTCCATGGAAAAAGAGACCAAAGCATACAAAGGCAAACTTTTTACAAGTGATCCTTGCCAAGTTCGATGAGAAAAGTAAAGTTTCAGTTTATGATGGCTAACGCCTTCTATTATCCTAAAAAAGAAAGTACGTACGATGCGGTTCATTTTGTGCCAACAAAGGGCCTAAAGTTGCATACTCAGGTACTTTGTGTCGGGAACATGACAAATTGTTATATTGACAAATTGTTGCCTATTTTTTAAACAATGTTTTTTAAACTGCTGGTCTCAAATTATCTTGACTCTAGTTTTGTCTGATATTTTTGTTGATTTATTTAAGGAAATTTTTATTAAGCACACCTGCATAGTGGCATCAATTTTTTAAGTTCATGCTTCTTGGAATAAGGTCCTTTTACCATTGACAATCGCAATTACAGAATCTCTCCTAGCTTTCCACGTGTACTTTTTTCCTTTTGAGAGTGACAATCTATTTAATCATCATAATTTCCTCAGTAGTATTGTGTGAGAACCAGGAACTGATAAAAAATTATCTAAAGAGTGCAAGGAAAAATGTTTTTTATCTTCAAAAACTCTCATCTTAGAAATTTATGGAAGCATTTTCAGACAGTATTTGTTTGAAATGTCACGCTAGCCCACAGTAAACTCCTAGTTGCTGATCATATTGTATGAGATAGTCCAAAAACCATCAACTGTTTCCCAATAATTAAATTGAGATTCACTGGTTGTGACCATTAGATGAATGCCACAACATACTCCGAAGATAGTCTATCCAAGCAGGTGATCTGCGCCCAAAACTATGTCTATCTCTGCAGACAATCAGAGGTAACTAGCAGCTTTTAGACACACGCTCTCTCATCAACAAAGTAATTCTGAGACTCAAACCATAATGACAAGTTCAAGTCTCTAAAATCGACTAAAAATTGAGAAAATTTTATTCTGAACTCAACTTGTGCGCAAGTTGAGAATATTTTACAGCAGACTGGCTGGCTTTAGTTTCTTGAAGGTGCAAACTATTAACCAGTGCTTGAATAAGCAAGGTAATATTCTTGACTCAACATGCAGCTTACTGTAAACCTGCCATTAAAATTTGGACCCAGTTTCCATTTTAACCTCTTTCTTCAGTTAATCAGTATTTCACCCCCCCTCAACATTTGGACCACAAGTAGACAATTTTTTCACTTAGTGGAAGGGAGTTCGATTTTTCTCAAAGTATGCCTTCAAAGCTAGTTTTCTAAAATTCTTTTAAAAGTTTTGTACAACTGTTTGCGTGCTAGCTGTTTGATGTTGCCTTGCTTCTTATTTCTTCTTTCCCATTTCCCGTATAGTTTTGTTTAGTTTCTTTTATTTTGGGTTTTCTTTTCGTTTTTATTTCTTCTTTTGTAGATTTGTCGGCGGATTTTAATCTGAAACGTTCTAAATCTGCCCCCTCCTGTCACTATCCGAACTCTCAAAGTCTCGACAGCATGCTGGAGTCTACTGCCGAATTGATAAGTCCAAAACCTAGTCCAATTAGCAATGTTAGTAGACGTAGTTGTGCACTGAACCGATCAAATCTCAGCACAGAGTTGTCCCTCAAAAACTCCGAGGACCAACGAGACTGTGTTAAGGATTCCCACTCAAATAGAAATCCCACCAACAGCGCTGCTGAAGATGGTAGTTCTGAAAGTGAAGAATTTTATGACTGTGAAACTTGGGATCAAGATTTGGCTGAAATTTTATGCGACCTTGCTCCGGTAGAAAATACAAGTTATGGCTGTGATCTCAATGCTGTGAGAAGCTCATCCGACTGTGATATGTATAAAAAGTCTGGAAAAACTAGTTCTTGTGATGTGGAACCACACTCTTCAACTCACCAAAATTTTTCTTATGCTAAAAAATCTGGGTTCGTAACCGTCAATCGTTCTGCAAGTAAACAGCCTCCCAAGAAAATTTCGTCTGACGGGACGGTCGTGTCCTTCTGGTGTGATGTGCCGCCCCAAGACAGAGTAAATCGCACCAAAAGTTTAGGTATGTTTTGCCTTGCATGTAAGCTCTATGTCGGCGCATCCAGGATCAAATCATCATTTAGCAGAATCTTTATTATTCCAACTAATAGGAGAGTTCTGCCATTCTAAGGAAAAACGTCATATGAGCCTTTAGGTCAAATTTTTTCTGATAATGCACAAATTTTTAAGGGAACTTGTGTTCATTTTTCTCCTAGTTTTTCAGAGAATTTCTTTCGCAATATAATCTACAGTACCTGAAAATTTCTAGGAGAAGTATTCATACACCTCAAAAATAAGTGTTTCTTAGGGAGAAATTTGGTAACATTTGGATGCTCATACCGCATTTTTTCTCAGCATGCAGAAAAAGGAATGTTCAGAAACGTGAATAATCAAATCTTAACAGTGCATTGTATCTGTAGATAAGTCTAAATTAAATTATTTAAATTACAACAGATGATTCCTCTGCACAAAGTTTTTTTGATAGCTCACCAGGAACAGATAAGATACTCCTATTCCCTAGAAAATGTGAATTGAGAGAAGTATTCAATTGCGAAACTTCCCTGGGTGCGCTGCTTACTTTTCATCTTTCATGTGTTTCGGTATAATTTGCTTTTTTTAGTCATCTATCCTTATTCATCGTTAATCTAGGACCGTTTTATGATATATTTTCTTCATTTGTGTAATGCCTTAATTTTGATCCTTCATTTGCAAATTTCTTTAGTTGTCTTGAACAATTATGCTTACATTTATTTCTTTTCTCTGTAGTATTATTTGACTCATTTACTGACAAAGGACAACTTATTCAGTATTTAAACATACTATATCTTATATCTTTGGATTAAACTTATGGCAAAGGGGAAATTTTCAGAGAGTGTTCTAGTGTCCCTCTGCTTTGGAGGTCATGATATTTGTTTACCAATGTAAGTTTTTATAGTAGGTGTTCAGCATAACTTTTTTCTCGCTCAGTATTAAACAGACATTTTTGTGTTCCTTGGATTCAAGACTCTTGTGACAAATTTCAGAGATAATTAGAGCTGTCCAAACCCTCAGTTTCTGTGTCCAATATCATCACAGATTTATCCCTCAAAAACCAATGGATGGTACATCCTTCGAGTTAGTGCACATCATAGTTTCTCCTACTTAGATTGCATCAGTCAGAAAGAGCTTCTTCCTTGATCTGATTTAATCGACCCAGATAAGAGTCCTTTTTAATACGGCGTTTATAGCGCAACAAATGAAAAGCTCATTAATCCCTGTTTAATAAAACCAAAGTGGGAATAACCATGGTAATCATTAACCGTATTTCCAGTGTCATTTAACTTAAGCGGATTTTAATTTTTTCTCATTATTCCAAATTAGCAATCATCGAAACTTGTGTCTTGATTCTGTAATGTGTGAGAAAAATCAATTGTCAGAGACAGAATTAAGGAGACATGTTTTCTGAAACACTTCCCACCCCAATGATAATTATGAAAAATGGTTTGGAGCTGTCCTCTTTTACTTGGTACATATTGGTTGAGTCAACGCTGAATAACTGATTGCACTTTTAGTGCAACATGGGATCAGCTTTCGTTAGTTTAGCATTGAAAGTAAAAATAAGAATCAAGATTGTTAATCCTGTGTTCCTTTGTTCCTTTAGATAAAATTCTTTAGTCAGGTTGAGTCAGAAGTGTCCCACACGCCATCATTCTCTCTATGTCAGCTAACAGAGTGTTTTTTTGGTTCTTTATTTACTAAGTACGATCTAAATTGCTCTTGGAGAATTCACAAAAGAAAAGTTTTTTTGTCTTTTGCACGTCCTATTGATAATGGGTAACTGTAGAAAATTAATGTGTTGCACAAGCAGTTGACTCTTCAGAGGCTTTTCGTATTTTTTGATGAAAGTTTTTGAATTGTGTTTTGTTGTTCTTTTCTGTTATAGAATTAGATGATGGTGCCTACAATCCACTATGGACAATGCGTGGATTTACTCAGTCGTTTCATTTCTGGAAGGAAAATAAACGGGCCCAATCTGTTCCTCTCAATGTGTTCTTAACATATGTTACCTTACCTTGGTGGAGCATTGTGAATGGTAACTATTTTAATCTCTCTTTAGGTTCACCAACTCAAAAAAGATAAGTTGGACCTTCATTTTTAGAGATAATTTTTCGAAGAAAACATTTTGAACTTATAAATTCCTTGTAGATTAAACCAAGTATTCGTAGGTGCACCAACTTAGAACGTAAAATTACATCAAGCAATAACGTTTTAAAAGCTGAATGAATATGTCCAGAATTGTTGCATTATTATTTAATTGATCAGTTTTTTAGAATGGACTAACACTTCACAATGATTCTTCTGAATTTTTTCTGCGAGATCTTAAGATATTCGATTAAGTTGTCACAAGTCTCTTGCTAAGGATTCGAATAGTAATTTTCCTTCATTTCCTTCTTAATAATACTCCTAAGTGTCACAGATAAGTCAGAAATATTACTTTTTATTGGATTCCATTTCAATTTGATAGGGTTGTTTTCCTTTCAACGGTAGCAAAGGCTCTGAGAAAATGAAAGTTTTCATAATCGCCCCCCTCCCTAAACTTCTGTCTTGAAGAAATTAAAATGGCCTAAAAAATTTTCACTCCCATGCTTTAAAATAAAACTTTGTATTCGTGCATAGTCTTGCTTTGGCCGTTACTGCCCGGCCATCATCAGCGACAACAGTCATTTATCCATGGCCTACCTCCTTTGTCCATTGCAACCACCCGCTTCCACCAATAAGATTCCTCCATATCCTTTTTATCATCTTTGCCTATAGCTTTGTCTATCAATTTCATCGATCAGCCCGCTGAAATGCTCAAGGCTGAAAAATCCAGATGAGGGATATTGGATGGGAACGGGAGACTGTCAATGCTGTTTTGCTTTATAAACTATGTGTCACTGAAATTGTTCAAAAAATTATTCTCACCCAAATGTTGGTATGTTTACTAAAGTCAAATTCTCCTTTCAATTTCAGATATATTAGATCACCGAGAAGGGCCCATCTTAACATTTTAAACGCTTTCACTGCTTCGATGATTTCAACTCAACTCTTCTCCCTCTCTCTCTCTGATATTTAATTGTGCGCGTGAGTGTGTGTATTTTTACCTGGACATATGTAAGTCATGATTTTCAGTTACCTGTGATAATCTTTTTATTTATTTATTTATTTATTTATTATTTTTAATTGTTATTTTATTTTCATTCCAACAAAATGATTCCGATTTTGGTTTTATAAACTGTAAGACAGTTTGTATAATCTAACCTCAATTTGCCATTTCAGTTATTTTTGTCTTGAGTGATTTTCTTTTCAATCTTTTCAATTCTGTAAAACTCCGTTTATAGGACAAGGAAAGTTCTGAATTGTTCTAATTAAGCTGTTGTAAGTGTTTCACAATGTTTATCTGTTGTTAGCTGTTTTTGATTAGTCAGTGTGAGCGTATTTTGTACCTTGAAATCTTATTATAACAATCATGACTTCAGTCGGAGAAGTTCATACTCTTGAGCAGTTCTTTTTTGTTCAAACCACAAATTAAGTTCCTGCTCTTGAATTTAGTCAGGAGTTAGATTATTACATTCCGGTGACCTCTTCGATATTTTGTATTATCAAATCGAACTGAATCGAAAACTAGGCTTTAAGCTTTGCTGTATTTTTTATTCTTTCCATAATTTTTCAACCGTTAGTGATTTTTTAATAACGATGCTCGTAAAATTTGTTATTTTATTGTAAAAAACTGAATTCTCTGAATAAATTTGCTTCCTCTTAATGATTTTGATGTCATTTGTTTCCTGTTTCAACATTCTTACTTGACTTTTTCTGAGATTTATTCAAGTTGTTTCGATTTATTGTCTCTAGGAACAACTGTCGTTGATTTCTTAAAAAATGAAATTATGAGGGTCACCCAAAAAGTAAATTTCCCTATTCTATGTCTTCCAAATAGTAAAAGATAAATCTAATCGGTGAAAATATTTACATCAGGCGTCCCTCTCAGCTTCACAAGAAGTGCAATATTGTGAAAATTCATCGAGGATTTTTTGAGGAAACTAAAATCTATTGAGATAACCTACAATTGCTGCGTACCCACCTCCTGTTGCCCCAAAGGATCACATCAAAGCTTGCCAATTTTGATCTCGAAAGCATAGAATGCTGGAAGATAAAAATTGTTGAATTTATTTTGATCCCTTTATTTTCAAATTTGAAAATTTTCACTGACCAATCTGTGAAAGAATACAATTTTTGCAGCTATCTGCACCAGCAGTGCATTTAAATGCCTTTGCATCTAACTTTTTTGAAAATATTAAATTTTTACCCATCACTAATTTCTTATTCAATTTTAAAAGACTATAAACATACTTTTACTGCCAGAGGAAGAAACCTTTGCAGTGTACGTAGTCTGACATCGTAGTTAAAGGTCAACAGTGTTGGCAATACGAGTCATTGCACAAATTCTTATCCGATCTAATCTTGATTAGTTGATGAAACATATTTAATCAGTACCTACACCTTATTGAAGTTAAGAACAAAAGGATGAAAATAAAGTCAACTTTCTTGTTTTTAGCACTCTTTGCTTTCCTTTGAGGACAAAATTAGGAAACTTAATATGATCTGTCAGTGCACTGGGAGGTAGGTTACATGGTGCGGTAGATACTCCTTGGAAATTTGAATTTTTCTCTAAAAAACAGATTTTCAAAATCTTGGAAATGTTTTAAGGAATACGCTTAGTATGTATCTTTTTACCAATTTGCTTTATCTCATTCAGTTCAGAAGTTTTTCAATGAAAAAACTTATTTTTTAGATAACTTTTGTAGTTTAATCCATTACTATTAGTAAAGAGATTTCATTTTCATTTTTCAACTTGATTAACTTTGAAACTGTGAAGAAAAAAAAAAATTATGAATCCATGCCTCTGATCGTCTCAGTGAATTATCCTACCTCCTATATCATTCATAACATTTGAAGTTGACCTTAGCCCTTATTAACGAGGCTGCTAGAATACATTTTTGAAATGATAAATTTGTAAATAAAATAAAGGAATGCCATGTTAAGTTCTTATTGGAGGCATGATTTTATACAAGATTAGGAAAACTATAAAAATGTAGCTAAAATTAGGTAAAAACACACTGAGTTTAACAATTTAATTTGGATGGGAATGAATGGGAAGAAGGAAACTTTACTCTCTCTGGCCCTCAAAATACTCTCAACTTGCACGGTAACTGCACCTAGATTGTTGTATCGTTATCAAATGACCTTGATCCTAAGATAGGGACTCATCGATCAAGGTCATTTGATAACGATTAAAAAATCGACCTGCAGATGTGCACCTTCAGTGTGAGAAAATTTTCTCACTGAACTCAGTTGCATTGTTTACCAATCTACTTTATTGTAAATTTTTCAAGATAACCTCCATCTCTGATAAAAATCACTGCATCACCGTACGAGAATGAAAGTTCAGTAACTCTCTGATAACTTTTTAATTTTACGCTGCCTCAATGAACTTTGAGCCTGATTATCTGCAAATAACCCCACTGTGGCTCTCGTCACTTCAGACTGTCTAAATTCAGCACGATGAAGCCCCAAAATGTGTGTCTCTTGTTTTTTCTTGTTTGTTTAAACTTTTGCCTCATTATTAAAGGAGAAACTTGTTTTTCAAAGTTACAAAGACTCAGGGGAAGACCTACCACCAGCAGTGGTTTTAAAATTTCAATAAAAGACAACCCTTCCGCGTATGTACCAGGTTCCATCTATTCCGGTAACTGAATTTTTAATCAACATTTCTTCTTAAAATCAACTTTGCCGAGTTAATGTTTTGTCCTGTTTACATTGAAATCCATTAATTTTAATTAGAGTCAATTATTTTTGACTTAAGAGCTTCTTCAAAGGTTCCTCCCGCTCTGCCTTCTCAATAATCAACCCAGGCTTAACAGTCGAATCGATTAAATTCCAGGATCCAGGAATTGATAGCATGGACATTTTTTCAACCACCCACAAAATAATGCATCAGGCAGTTAAAATGGCACCATACAATATGACTGAAGGCGAGGTATCAAATCCAAATGAAATGTACTATTGCAAAGTTCAGTTGTAAAAACTAGTACTGAGCCCTAACAAGCTCTTTGACAGTCGCATTTAATGAGACTTTTTAATGAGACTTTTTAATATTCAAATTTTTATCCAGGAACTCAATAAACCAAATACTACCGAAATGAACAGTGCCTGCTGATTTCATAGAACGGCACGGTTCTTTGTAGAAGGAGCTAAAATGAGTCAATCTAAAATTTCAAGACTAATCAGACCGTTTTACTATTTCAGTTAGAACATTGGTTTTCTATGAAAGATGTAATTTGTTAAGGAAATATTTCCTGGTTTTATCACCAATTTTTTATCAAAAGTCCTTAGCCTATTTTATTTTTGAAATAATATTCTGAAATGCTTAGTACCAATGAGGTCAATGAGACTCGACATCAGCAATTCAACCAAATGCATTGCTATATTTTTTTCAACATGTCCTAGAATCACCTCTCAAAAGTTTCCATTATGATAAACTCGAGCTGTGTTGAGAGTATTCCAGCAAATTGTTACTTAATTTCCTTGTTCTCTTCAATCTGCAAGATCTACATAATAGAATACCAAAAACTTAGATGATAAAATATTTTTCAAGTATAATAAATATTCCACACATTTTAGTAAGTTTGCAACTGATCTCGAACTTATTTTTTTGTTTTGTTTTGTTCGATTTCAGTCTCAATTCGCCATGAAAGAAATGTATCTTTCAATCAGTTCGTCTTGAGCGTGCAATTGAAGGAAAATGATACCGATGGAGGATCGCCCCTTGATGTTGGAAGGTTCCAGATTCACCGAGATACCAAAGCAATTTTTGACCCAGATTGCTTGAACACCGTTGCAGAAATTGATCGTAGCCCAAAAACTGAGGCGGTTGTATCATGGAAAGCACCAAATCCTGGAAATCAATGTGTTTTATTCAGGTATGAGAGTGTAGTCATGTTTTTCATGCGGATGGAAATAAGCAAAAATAAACTCAATGGTTGCTGGCCATGCAGACTTTTTTGTAATTTGAATGAGCATCCAAATTGCATATCAAAATTGATACGCTCTGCGTTATCGCGGAACAGATTAGTAAGTTTATTTTAGCTTAATCCTTAAAGCGCATGAGATCACATATTAATTGTGGCTCAAAGCACATGAAATCACATATTGATCATAGCTCAAACTAAAATCTCATATTAATCATAGCTCAAACTAAAATCACGTATTAATCGCAGCTCCAACTAAAATCAACACAACTTTACTCTTGTAAGATATCTTACCCTTCAGGAAGAATGAAAAAGAATATCAGTGATTGATTTTTTGTTTACATTGACCTGTCGCATTCTCAATCATTTTTGAAACTCAATAAAATTTTATTTTCTTATTGGTTTTTGTGATCATTTTACAGAGCTATGGTGTCGCAGGATGGACGTCATTGGTACAAATATGCTGATGGTCTCACCTACAGATTCTGCCCCGAAGGGAAAGAAAATTTAACAGAAAAAGAAAACAAGACTTGCTGCGCTTGTGATGAGGCCAAGTATCAGGTAATAGGAAAAAGGATCCTATTTGTATATAGTCCATACCAATAGCCAAAATGGGAAACCTCAGATCTCCATCTGCGATGTTGCAGACTTCCTGTTATACTTTATTTTTTCTTTTGAAAACTAGTTAACGTAATGTCTTGAGAACTTCCTTGATTTTTTTCATCTATTTGGAGAATATTCTGTAAACATTTCAAGCTATAAAGTGGGTTTGTTCATCTTCGAAAAAATGATTCAGTAGCAGAATTTTGAAACACTGCAATGGAGATTGTGGTTTCACACTTTTGCCATCAATATGAGCAAAATGTATTCCTGTTTAGAGAAACTTATAGAATTCTTTTGGATTTTTATCTATTGTAACAATGGAAACAACTAGCATGGTCAAAAAAATATGTGCATAGAATTGTTATTCTATTCCAGCTTTTTGCAAAAGGGTCAAGTTTTGCAATATTTATTCCATGTCAATCAGACATAAATGTAAGCTGAGGAACGTCTTCCTTGCAAAATAAAATAAAATTTAAGGAAAAAACTCAGAAATTTGGAGAGAGTGACCCGTGACATTGACTCGTTAGTTACCATCTATTAAAGACAAAGACATCTAGTAAAGACAAGCACACCTAATTTAGAAGTTGACCCACATACAACCGCAAGGAAAAGAGTCAGATGTGAAGGACAATGTAGTTTTACTTTTAAATAAAGGGGGAATTAATAACGGGATCAAATAAAGCATGTTTATGCAATTTTTACTTTATTCCAACCAGTTGCGAGAGAGTCAAGTTCCAAAGTATTTATTGTCTCTTGGAGCAGCTCTAATGGGAAAGGACTGCTCTTAATCTCAAATTAATAACAGATTAAGAAATTTTAAGGTGACTTGTCCTGGGCTCTTGGCGTAATCCAATTGACGAGCGATGTATCTTATCAATTTAGACTAAAATCGCAGCTGACTTTAACTTCTTAGCCAACTTAAGAACTAAAGCGCCAACAATCAAGAATTTGTAAATTTTAGGGAAACCAAAGCAGAATTCTTCTTGGAAAAAACCATGGTACATGGTAACAAAACATGGTACTGTTATCAACCTCTGTATCGATTGCAACATTTTTTCCTAAGAAGAATCCTGCCTTCATTTCTCTGACTTTTGCCATTTTTTGGGTTGAAAATGATTCATTAGGCTCAAACACAGGGTATTTAGTCATTTTTTGGCTAAAAAGTCTAAACTAGCCACGATGTTTCACTCAGTATATTGCTCGTCAGTTTGACCATACCAAGAACCGGGAATGAATCACCTCAACAGAAAGTTTGTTTTCAAATCCTCACTGCCAGATAATCGTTCAAGCTATGAAGCATCTTTGTCTCATTTTCCAGTTGACTTTTGAGGGACTGTGGTCGAATGCAACGCATCCAAAAGATTTCCCATTTTCTCTTTGGCTGACACACTTCAGTGATGTCATAGGTGGCACGCATGGTCCAAACTTTTCTTTTTGGGGTGAGGGTCAACTTGCCTCTAGTGGACTGAAACATGTTGCAGAATGGGGATCTGTCCGAATCTTGGAGGCAGAGTTGAAGGAAAAGGTAAGACTGGATGAAAAATTCCTCCATAAATTTTAGGAAGGAAAGTAAAAACTTTGGTTGACCAGAAAACGATTAAATGCTTGACAGTGGCAGACAATTTTTAGGAAATTAAAATTAGTCGCTCAAAAAATAACAAAATAGATGAGGCCTCATGTTCAAGCTTCACTACAGAGTAAAAATTAAAAAAATGGGTATTCCAATGCTGAAATATTGAAACACTAAGAGTAAATTTAACTCATAGTCGCCACAGGCTCATTTTCAGTCGGAAAAACAATAATAATTTCAGGGGCAACCATATCCCAGTTGCTATCATGCAACTACTAGGTAACAACTGGAACAGGTTGGCACTCAATTTCCTTTTAATTTTGATTGTTTTCCATTTGAAAATGAGCCTGTGATGGTTCTAAGCGTCCTGCCTTTCTAGTGTTTTAATATCTTACTATTGTTTAATTTTTTAATGAACCCATTTTTTAATTTTTGTTTTCTGCCTTGTGCATATTTTTGGGCCAGGTCATTTGTCTGTTACAGTACAAGCTTCTTATGCCTGTTTTGTGAAGGTGATTCTTCATCCAGAAGTCTTTTCTGTCTAATTATTTTTTTCATGTCTCTACTGTCACTGAATGCATCCAAAATTCCTCCTGCTTTGATCTGCTCATCCAAAAATTTGTATTGGTCGCTCCTACTTCAGAATTTCATATTCTGAAGATAACTTCCACATAGGCGATACTATCATATTTATCATTTATTATATTTTCTGCTTCATATTTTATTCAAGTTTTGCTCACTCTGTTCTATATATTCTCTGTTGGAGGTGATTCCTTATTTTCACTGTTTCCAATTTTTACAGAAAAAATTTCTGCGCTCTCTAATCAAAGCTGTAGGACTGTGGTATCCAAATGTCAACACCAATACTTCCTCCACGTTTCGTGTAGACAAGAGAAAAAATCTTCTGTCCGTTGTTTCTATGTTAGGTAAGATGTCTTAATATGAATTTCGGGTAAATGGGACTATAAATTTTAAGCATATCTTTTTTCAGGTCGTCATTTTGTCATTTTTAGTCACTATATAGAACTTTTAGTCACTATACTTACAGAAATTTCAAGGTGCATTTTCTAGTTTATATGAAATCTTCAAGTTTAGAGTTTCTATTGACCTCTGAGGGAGCATTTGTTAGTCAAATTTACAAGCTCTCTGTCTCCCAAAAGTGTTGTGCTTATTTGCAGAGATCTACCAAGTTGATTTCCGTGAGTTTTAAATTATCAGCACTTAATAATTCTAGATGAGCCCCAAGTCTCCAGTTTTTGGATTATAAGCCCACCATTTTCATTGCCACAAAAACGGCTCTCTGTTTAATGCTGGTCTGGGGTTGGGCGGCATGGCAACCTTAGACCTCTTTATGTTAAGCTATTGATGATATTATAGTTTTGTATAGATAGAGTTTTTATATTTCAGGCCCATCTCCCGATTGGATCGTTGGCGTATCTGGTTTGAACTTGTGTACAAAAGACTGCTCTTGGAAAGAAGAGATGATAATTAATCTGTATCCTTACGATGCCGGTACAGACAACGGGATCTCTTATATGGTTTTGACTTTATCCTTTCTTTCTTCTCTTTTCAAAAGCTCTTATATTCAGAAATTTTGTTATCAACTTACAAATTTGTGGGTTACATAGACCATAGGGCTCATCTCAAAATAAAGTTACCTCCTTACATCAGGGGAGCGACAAAATGTCTGAAGGTGAATTTATTAGAAGAGCAATTTTTGTCGAGTGAGAATGAGAGATTTAAATTTTTAAAATTTATTTTTTAAAAACTCTCAAAAAAACTGTTAAAACTTCCGAAGAAGGAAACCTTTTTCAGGATTTCTTTACATAATATTTACAAGAGGCAAAATTTAAGTAAAAAAAGTGTTAAAAAACTCCATAAGAAAACGTGATTTTTTAAAATATTTTTGTCAAGTAAAATTTTTTGGGAAAAATTTAAAAAAATAAATGTATTATTTTTAAGAGTTTTTTAGGAGTTTTTTTTAAAACAATTATTGTACTTAAATTTGACCTCTCATAAATTTTAAGTGGAGAGAATCTCAAAAAAGGTTTCCTTCTTCATAAAGTTTAAGAGTTTTTTAATTAAATTTTACAAGTTACGTAAGAGATTTTTTACAGTTCCTGCTACCGGGGATGTTTTTCCTGCAAACTGCCGTTATTAATCAGCACTCTTCAAAATGCTGTAACTCTTGTTTGGTTTGACATTTTTAGGCGTTAATTGTGCCAAGATGCTTAAAAAAAACATTCTGCCCAGCTGTGAAGCCTTAACCATATTTTTAATTTAAAAGCATTAAAGTTCTTTTTTTTTTTTTTTTTTTCCTGTAAATGTCATATGTGGAATCCCTCATCTCATATTGCTCTAAAATTTGTTTAGTCGCCGAATGCTCCATCCATTCCTCAAGAAAAAATTCACAGAATATCAAGCATGTATCCAGAAGATCCTCGTGCTCCATTCTATGATCCATCTGGCAAAGAAATGAAACCAGTAGCTCGCTTATATCTTAACCGAATAGAAGTTATCCCCAAGTCTTGCTCGGAAAAATCGGTGGATGATTTATTGGAAGAGGTTCATGAGACAGACAACACTGAGGATTCAGCCAGACGTAAGTCCTTCAAATTTCCTCTCCTTCATCATCCACTCAGTTGGAGTTTTCAGCTTCAACGGTAGATACATCTCCACAGCCTGAGTTCGAAACCATGTATCTACATCATGTGTTTTAAAATGTCTGCTCTTATTTTACTTTTTTGAGGAGAAATAATCCAACTTTATTGCTCGAAAATACAGAATATTTTGCTGGCATAGAATAAAAATCAAGGAAGTTTTTAAGAAATTGCTTCAACTAGTTTCCCCTTAGAAAAAAAAGGATAACAGGAAGTTTGCAATGTTGCAAACGGAAATGCATGGTTTTGTTCTTCAGCCATCAAGTCATTAAAACTGGGTTATGTGGAGGATTTTTAATTCATTATGTCCTTGCTAGTGTTGCGTACGCAATTCAACAAGAGAATAGTAGTCAACTGTAAGTATGAATATGAAAAGATAAGGAGGGAAAACTTCCTAAGCCAGAGAGGATGTTGATCCGTGGGAAGCTGAATCAAATAAGAAGGTAATTTAACAGTGACAAGTACGTATGCGAGGGAACTGAACTGTTTACTGTTCGATAAAGCCCTCAGCACTTCTATCCTAAGCAAGAGAATCATTCCTCGATTGAAGAGTGATAATTCCCCCTGATATACAGTATTTTTGCATGAAACATTTAAGATCCTTTTCTGTTGAGATTTCAAGGTAAGTTTAAGTATAAGAACATGAAAAAAAAACTGCCAATAAATCTGCAGGTAATAAAAACAAAGAAAAATTTGAACATTTTTGTGAGGTTTTTTCGTCAGAAGAAAAACGGAAACACAACTGATTTACCAGGCTCTTCCTCAGCTGCAAAATTTCAAAATTCTCTCATGATTATTTTTGATTTGAGAGCTAAGTTATATATTATTTTATCATAACAACAGCCTTTTGTTGAAAGCGTTCAAATTCAAGCATCTTTTAAGCTCACAATTCGTGAGACGTTTGACCTTTTAACTCCCATTGGCCTTTAAAGATTTTCTTTCAATGCACCAAATTTTAAATCAGGAAAATGATGTGACCCATTCACTTTTTTTCATGATCCATTAAAGCGGAGTGTGCTGTTACGCCTTACTCTGAGTGGAGTAACTGTTCTGAAGTTTGTGGGAAAGGTCTGCGAATGAGGACTCGGCAGTATGTTCAACCTACGAAAGCAAAGATGTCTGGTTGTAATCGGCAATTAGTCTCAAAAGAAATGTGCTTAGGATCAGATCCATCTTGTCTGTGAGTGTTTTCTGGACTAGCAATTTAATTTTTCCTTTATACCACGTGTGTTTTTTAAGAAAGCCTGCAAAGTATGCAATCCCTTGAGCATTAGTTTTCAGAGTAGTATTTGCCTACAAAATCTTGATTGTGCAGTCAGTTAATTTTCAAGCCATCACTGAAAAAAAACTCCGGCTGTGGAAGCCGTACTTACAGGCTATATTGACAAACCGTCCGGCGTCCACGTTCCAGCCTCAGAGGTCAAAAGTTCCGGCTGTAGCACCTGGAGCAGTTGAAGCTACGGCTGCAGCACCCGGAACTTGCGGTCTCTGAGCCCAGAACAAACGGTATGTCTACTTATCCCGGAATGTTTTTTTTCAGTGTGCACCAATGAAATTTTGTGTCTACGTCATTTTTGTCACAATTCGAGTGAGGGTTTCAATTTTTTTCATTATTACTATTATTTATTGGTAGCTTCAAAATACAGAATTATAACCATTGCTTATAAAGTAAAAACACAAGTGAAAAATCAGGCGACTGATACAATTCTCTGATAAGTTCTCTGATACAGTAATCTGATACAGTAATCTGATACAGTTATAATATAATAATGCTAAGGGGAGAGAACACCCAGGCTTTGGGTCAAAAGACTCATCGCACAGGGAGAGGGCCGGGTCGTTACCCCCAACCCTTCTCCGCTATTGCTAAAATAGAATTTCAAATTCTCGAAATTGTTCGAATTTCGTCAAATGGAGGTATTGGAAATGTACTGAATCTTTCTATTGAGGAGGTACTAAATTTCTTAGGAATGTACTGAAATATTACTGTAAATGTGCTGATTTTTGGCCAGCCTGTTTTAGTAGATACCCTGTTCATCACTCTAAATGATATTTTATTTTTCAGGCGGGAAGAAGAAGATGAGCCTGACAACACATGTGCAACTGTTGACTGGGGAGAGTGGTCAGACTGTTCAACAGACTGCGGAGATGGCTTCAGGATGAGAACAAGACATTTTGTGGAGAAATCAAGCTTTAAAAAGTGCCCTCATGTGCCCATCGTTGAGAAAGAGCCATGTGTCGAGAAACTTTGTCAGAATCAGACAGACAAGGTAGGATGAGGCAACACTGCACAGATTTGATACATTTATACTGAGATTTGTAGTAAATCATACATTCACTACAAAGTTAAACCACGAAATTACAGTATTAATACAGTATTAAGTTTGTTATTTGCGAGAAAATTGCAAAATAGAAGAGAAAAAAAAAAAATAGGAACCTTCCTCTTTCTACTAACAATGTGGTGACTTCATCTAGAAAGTAACAATGACGGTATACAGGGACAAAAAGTACATGGGTATTGGATACTTTTGTATGAGCTAGATCAAAGCCCATTGACCTTGGATTTCAAGTTTAGCCGTTTAGCCTTGTTCATCTTATTTAAATTCTTTTGTAAAAAGTTTCATTACTCACCTCTTTTTGTTTCCTTCAGACAAAAAAAAATGGCTTTTTATGGCATCAAAATCCTTTCCATACAAAAGCTGTAACACTCCGTATTTATTAAATTGAATAAAAATTATTGTGCTTGATCACAATTTTTTTTCTTTTCATTGTCTCAAAGCTATTCCTCTGATAAAATTTTATTTCATAGCTGAGGAATGCTATTATTTATAAGAGGAAACAAACTCTAATTCTCTCACAAACAACTTGTTGAAATGTTACCTGAGAAACAATAATTTATTCCAGGTAGATCCAATGTGTCCCACAACAGAATGGAGCGAATGGAGCCCGTGTAGTGTAACTTGCGGACAAGGTGTACGTGTGAGGACAAGATCGCTGATCGTTTCTCCAGAGCTTACAGAGAAATGCTCAACCAGAGTGAACCTACAAATTGAGAAGACTTGCAAAGCCAAGGAATTTTGTTTGACAGATATGGCAGTAGCCAAATGTATGTCATACATTTTGTAGACTTCTTATGATCAAACACTTTATTTATTTGAAGCATTTCCGAATAGTTAATGAGAAAAAAATGAAACTTGGACGAATCAGATAGGACAAAGAGACGTAGTGACTCTCGGCTATCAACATTTAGCCCTTTATTTAAACAGGAGCAGTTACTCGAAAATGTGAAAGCTACCACCTCATGGATAATTTTTCAAAGATCAAATAGAATATTTTCAAATTCAAGTATAATAGGTATGATGCATAGTTTGGGTACTCTCTGAAAGATTTAGTTAGAATTATGTAATTATTCAAGGCTGGCTCACCTTTTAGATTATACCATCATCAAAAATTACTCCCATTTTTCCTCCATCAATAAACTATCTTTCTCAGTAATAATAAGTATGTTTAAAGTTGGACCAATGGACAAGGTCAAAAAACTAAACCTATTGATTCGTATTTTCTTCTTGAAATTTGAAGTTTAATACGTTGAATACATTGAAAATTTCCAATTTCAGTATATGAATGAAAAATTGACGTCTTTGAAAATTCAAACCTCCCACTTGCCAAAAATCAAAGTCTGCTTGAATCAAACCAGGCACTGAACTAATTCTTTTGTGCCTTACCTTGAAATCGTCACCATCTGGCCAAAGTATCACAAGCACCATTTACTCTGAGATGATATGCCGGCCATCTCAAAACTGTTTTCCTTTTTTCTGTAAAACTTTTGCTCATACTTTCATGAAAATTTCAGGGATTAATCTGTATGACAAAAGAAATAGTAGGCCAAATTTAGAAGTGACTCTGTTCATTAGTTTTTCTGTAGAGAATTGGGCTTTGAGAGTAGTATCCACGCTCGACACTGCTGTCTAGCATGTATACTACAAAGTTTGGCAACATACTGAGAGGAACTGAAAGTGAAAAATCCAACTTCAGTTGTATACAGGACCATTATCATTATCGCTTAAGTTGATTTTTTCCCCTGCAAACAGAACTCAAAATTCTGGGATTTAAAGGTGAATATTAGGGCTTACTTATTTTGTATACACTTCTAAAATTCTGAAAAAGGTAAAAGGACGCAGCAAGAAGTTTTGATTTGTAAACATGTTTCAAAACCATTCAATTCTCCAGCTTCATCAGCGTTTTTCTTTTTTTGTTTTGTTAGCGATCTGTATGATGGGAGAAGACACAGGGCCTTGCAGGGCTTTCCTTCAGCGCTGGCGTTTTGAGCCGATGAAAGGGATGTGTATTCCATTTATGTACGGCGGCTGTGCAGGCAACAAGAATAATTTTAAAACCCTCGAAGAATGCAATAGCATGTGTTCCGTACTAGCAGGTAAAAGGAAATGAACGCTATTGCGTTTGAACTTGCCATGCATAAAAATGCAGGAATTAGAGCAATAAAATATTTTCTGTGGAATATTCGCTCTGAAAATTTAATTTTCAAAGTAAAGACAAATAAACAGTAATCTGTTATTTGAAAGAGATATGATAACAAGATAAAATTGTAGTTGAATTTTTATAAATTCTATCACAGAGGTTTTTCGCCTTGTTTAAATGTTTTAAATTTTGAAATTTAATTTTACTCCTTTTATCCGAGTAGCTCATTTTATCCTCAACTTTAAGACTAGATTTCAAGCTGAAATGAAGACTTTAGGTAAAAATTTTAAGGTATGTTTTATTTGAAAATTAATAATGTAATTTCATATGATTTTGTCTAAAACATATATCCTAGGAGTGTGCTTATTAAAATATTTGGGCTAATTTTATGAATTGTTGAATTGGGCTCGATTAACAATTTTTTTGCATTTCAATCATGCGAGTGAACTGAGTTTTCAAAATTACTGGGTTCTCAACTAAAGAAAAATTTTTTTCAACGATTTTTTCGATCAGTTGTTTCTTCAGAGATGATAATTTTGCTTACAACGGCGGCCCTTAAGTAGCCTTGAGTGGCTGATAAGTGGTTGTCCACAAAGGCTTGCCATTTACGAATTTTCGTCCGAAAAGAGGCACCACCGGAAGAAAGTATATTCCAACATTGATCCGGCTATCGACAATCTGGTGCAAGAAAGCCAGCCTCAACGCTCTTATTAGGGAATAACAGTTAAGAGTTTACTCCTCTTTTAATGAAACAAAGAGTAAAAGTCAAATAAAAAAGCATATAAAACCAAAAATTAAGAAGAAGAAAAAGGCTCCATGAAGCGCAAATATAGTTTTTGTTCGTGGTTTGTAGCCTCGCCTTTTGGTGAGAAAGTTGTCCGCTGCCAAAACAGGCTGAGAACTGCTGGCTTACGATGTTCAACTTGCAAGACTGCATCAACATCATTTAAAAATTATAGAAAAAAAACTCAGTTTTTAATTTTTGCAATTTTCTCCTTGTATCTTTTATCCTTTGACTTCTTTGTTTTCTTCAGCGTTATTATTCCACTTTTGTTTTATTTTTTGAAGTATCTATCCCATCATTTTTTATCATGATAACATGTACATCTCTGGCTATCTCATTCATAGGAGCTGGACCAGCAGTCAATAACGCACAGCCTGAAACTAGTGTTCAAAATGTCAACTGTGAAGTGAGTAAGTGGTCCGAATGGTCTCCCTGTGAAACAGATGGCGCCTGTAACACCGTTGGAATTCAGAAAAGAACTCGATCAATTACGGTAATTGGATAGCATTGTCACTCATTACCAATAACAATTTTTGGGAACATTATCGTGAAAAATCATGAAAATCTGAGGTATTTTGACCTGATATGATCTGTATATTGCTACAATATAGTCGCATGAAATTGCTCAAATTTTGTTGATCCTAGGTATTAAAATAAGACGAAGTGCAATAGAGTTGGATTTCTTACTTGAAAAAGTGTTCTAAAATTGGCCGTTCAGAAGAGTTAGCATTGTTCTTGCATAGTTTCTATTAATAGAATCAGATCTCTTCAGAATTTTTTTTTAAAAATGTTAAATTCTAATTTTCTGTGCAATCTTTTCCTTTTTCAGATCCATGCCCAAGGCAAAGGGAAGAAATGCCCGAAACGTCTGGTGCAACAAAAAAGATGTAAGGTGCCACCGAGCTGTTAATCAGTGAAAATTTATTGTACTTATAAAATCCGAGTTGATCGCTGAATTTAGCCTTAAGTTTTGAGTCACTAAGCTGCTGTTCATTTGAAAGCAAATGATGATTCACCTATTCATAATCTGAGCATCCAGATCAAAGTTAATGGATATTCATGTCGCAGAAACTTCTTTCATATTTTTTCTAAACACCGAATATGGGTGTATTTAGTTTCATTAGAATTGTCTAATGAAACTAAATATGTTATAAGGAAGGATTTTTAATTGGCATCACCGTATCATCTTGAGTTGTGTCAATAAATTTTTGGTGGTTTTTTTCCTCTTCTAATTTTTCCAATTATTATTTCACCACTGCTTTTTACCTACTTCAAAAAAAAACTTTTTGCTAAAGGCAACATTTTTATGGAAAAATTGGAATAAGTTCTGCATTATTTATGCCCTCATCATTTTTGCCTATGCTGAATAGTTTTTAATTCTTAACTCTTTATTGATCCTCATTCTCACAAATTTGCCGCGTAATTTTTCAACCTCCCAACTCCGGAAGATTAAAAAAAAAATAAGAAGAAAAGAAACTATTGCATCCGCACTGCTGGTCAAACTTCAATGAACTTTATAAGTCAGTCTTTAAAGTATTTTAATTAGTTAGGTACGTCTTCAAATTCACCAAGCAGACTGGGACTTTGCATAATGACATTATGATATTGTCTTGGAAGTGACCATACTATGGCTGCTCAAGACAAACACTATCGGTATAAGAAGATCCCATAAATTATTGTAGCTTGGTCTAACAAGAGTCTATCAACTTGGGGCTGACATGATACATGGCGGGACAAGACATAGAAGCACCTACTCATGCGGTAGCGTACAGTGCCTTTGCTGGTGCTGCAACTCCTTTCAAAGTGCAGGTTGTTTACATGTTGTGCGATGCCGTGCATCAATGTAATTTTGGAAGACACTAGTTCAGCAAAGAGGCTCTCCGAGAGAAAATGTTAAAGAAAAATGAAATCTTATTTTTACGCATAAATTATGTCTTGTAAATTTCTTTAGAGATTTTCATGCATCCTAAAAATTAGTTTTGAAACTTTTTAAAAGTATGTCATAGAGGTAGAATTAGTGATAATAATGGATCTTTTCACATGATGTACTTTTATCAAAATAAAATTTAAAAAATGAAACTTGAAATTTAGCTTATGCCTCTCTTCTAAGTTTCCCTCTCAAAGCAAAGATATGACCTTTCCTCCACACAAAAGTTTCAACAAAGTGCCGAAGAATTTTCAGAAAAGAAACAGCACTCAATGTCAATTGACCCTGTGACCCTTAATTTTCTTAGCTCAATGCCCATACTACCTTAACTAGGAAATTTTATTGCATTGACATTGTAAGCAAATGATGAAATAATACCAATCATAGAGGCGTGTGCACCATCCCCTTTTCTTCCTAAGGTCTCATGATGCATAGAATGAAGCGATTTGGTCTGTTTGGTGTCAGGTTAAATTATTTGTAAAATTTGGCGATTTTTTCTGTTTTTATTTTGATCAGACCATTGCAAATTTTTTGCAGGAAATCTGATTTTTGGAGATTACAACCCTCTTATCCTTTTAAATCTTCCCCACACGCCACACCCCACCTCACCTCTTAAAGGGAGGTCAACGGAGCCTCGAAAAGCTCGAAACGATACATTTCCGAGCCTTTGGGGTAGATTAGGTGGAGAACCTTTTTCCTGAGACTAAACGTCAATTTTCATATTAAGCTGTATGTTGTGGAGGTGGCACGCATCTTCTTTTAATTTTAAGGGACCATTGTTTGGCAGAGGACTTTTGGCTTATGGATGTCAATTTTGGGTGGCATTTTTTAATTTTCCTATTTTGATGTACTTACAAATTCTTTGGCAATCTCTCGGTTTTCGAGATGGGACACCCCCCACCCCCTCCCCCCTTCTCCCCATCTCCCCTAAGAAGGACCGGGTGCTCAAGAAATTCAGATACCTTGGGGTCGATTCTCCATTAATCCTCCCCCGGTACGGATGGTGTAAATCACTGTGTATATGCACCAAGTAACCAGCGAGTCTGAAGCGGCAAAGGAGTGTACCACGCGTCAATTCAAACTTTCGCGGGGTTTTTCATGTTGTGAGCAAGGTTGGCGCGCGCGCGCTCGCAGACTTAATCAACCAATCACCGCTTCCGGTTGGCGCGCTCCCGCTCAGACCCAGCCAGCCAATCACCTTCGGTTACCACGAGCCTGTTATCAGGTTCGCGTTGCCATGGAAATAATCAGCATGCTGTCAACAAACATAATCAGCATTCACATGCCTTCCCTTGAAACTGTGTTTCCCATGATTTTTCGAGTAGCAGCGATTGATGGATGGAGATGAGAGATTTTCGCCAAGTGTTTCTGCTCTTGCCCATTCTTCTCAGTAAGTCTCACCAAGCAGGGAGGATGTGTGGCCCCTCGGTTTTCTATGTAAGATACGTTTTCACCTACCTCATTTTTTACCTTTTTCAAAAACAGCGCTCTCTAATCTTTGCTCATGAGTATGTATCAATCCTTTTTTGCCATATTGGTGAGGCTTTGAATCTAACCTATAACATCACCAATCGTAAACTTTAATTCAACTGGACCCCAGAAATGACGGTGGCAGAGTCTTAACCACGACTCGCATTATCTCACAACGTCACATCTGTTTTACCTTTGAAAATGCAAGAAAATCTTGCCCATGATCAAAACACAAAAATAGGGTGAGATAATGTACAGAATGGCCCAGTTGCATGATAAGTTCTAAAGGTTGAGTTTTGTAGTTCAGCTGGAATTTACATAATTTGTCTAATAGGCAAGTTTCTGAACACCATTAGCAGTGATCGGATTAGCAGGAGCAGTGATTGCGATAAATAGCTCTTTTATCGGTTGGTTATCGCGATTATATTGGTGGCAATATATCGAGATATTATCACATTAAAAATTGTGATAAATGGCGATTAAATTGCTACATATCGCAATTTTTGTTTTGATAAAATCGTAATCAATTTTCGTTGATAAAATCGAGATTACCTAAATCGCCACCTATCGCAATTTTTATTTCGAAAATATCGCGATAAAAGCGCGCTTTTATTGCGATAAGATTGAGGATAATCGCTGAGATGTTGATGATCCAGGCGATTTTATCGCCGATAAAATCGCAATTTATAGCGATTTTTCCGTTGAGAAATGCTACTTGAGATTTACAGTAGATAATGTACTTTTAAAACCAAAATGAACTGATACCGAAATTTTTGAAGAATAAAAACAGAATAAATATGATTTGTATGAAAATTTAGATTTGCGTCCAAACTCGAAGCGCCCTTGATGCTCAATTTCCTGGCAGCCAGGGGTTTTTCGGGCAGTATGTTCACCGACTTTCCACACCCGCGAGAGGAACGATCGGGCCTGCCTCACCTGGTTGGGATATCTCGCTGGGAGAACCACCAGTCCCAGTGACTGGGGGGTGTGGAGGTTTTTAGTCGGGGTCCGAACCCACTCGCGCGCTGCTGACCATCGAGCATGGCTCAATCTCGTGTGTGCGGGGTGCGGGTGACTCTCTCGAACCCCCTGTCAGCTGATTGCGGCTGCCGGGGGGTGGGACTGGCCGCATGCAAGCAGTAGTTGCCGGAACTCGGTTTTATCCCCGCTTTCAAAGGGGGAAAAAAAAACTCGAAGCTCATTAACTCTTACTCAAAGAAATCAGAATTTTTTAAAGAAATGGTATATTTATTAACATTATTTATTATAAATCCTTTTCAGAGATTTACCAGGTGCACGGGAATATGGTTGGAGGCTAGTAGCAATCGGCATTGCTTAACAGTGGACAACTGAGGACTTCATATTTTTCTGGCTCTGATCATCTCCCCACGTGAGGCTTCTTTAAACTAGGCAGCGGAGATTCTAATTTGAGAGACGCAAATGAAAAAATGCCATTTTCGAAGGATGTTGAGGCTGACTATGAAGAAAGGTACCACCATGCAAATGAAGAAAATCTCCTGCTGAAAAAAACAATAAATCAGCAGTTAAAATTAATCAAAAAGTAAGTGTGTAAACCTAATGTATATACCTATTATCAAGGGATGGCTAGAGCTTTTCTCAAAAAGAAAGAGCCTCCCAAAAAAGGCCCTTTTTTGGCCCCTTTCCGGGAGCTTAGGGATTTAATTCACATGTAGCTTCAATGAAACCTTATGATGAGACAAGCCTCCAGAGAAGGTTTTAGTTTGAGTATAAGTACATCTGGTTTTGGAAATACAGCGTGCAAAGTTTGCACTTATAATTAAGCTACCTATATAATTCTTCATATTTTCAATTAGGATCTTTTTTTTAAAAAAACAGCTGAATCAGGTATTTTATGACATTTTTTTATATTTTATCAACAGTTGGCGTTACAATGGAATGCATATCGATGGTGTAAGTCGGCAATCACATAACTCGGTTTGCAACGTTGCAGACTTCCTGTCATACTTTATTTTTTAAACGAAAAACTACTCAACGGCAATTCTTTAGGACTGCGGTGATTTTTCTTCTCTATGCAAAGAAAATTCTGCAAAAACTTCAACGAATGATGTCAATTTGTTCTCCTTTAAAGAAATAAAATAGAGGCGGAGATTTTCAAACACCGCAAACGAGTTATGTGATTGCCGACTTAGACCGTCGATATTTATGTTAATATGGAATCACTACTAATTCTGTTAATACAATTTTGCATAGTTTATATATCACAGACCTATAAAAATGCCCATTTTGTTAAGTCTCTTATTTGATAAAGAACTTAATAACCACTGAAAGATATGCTCATGGGGCTAGATACAGTTTTATGATAAGATAAGTTTCAATGGGAAACTTTACCCAGAGTATAAGTATAGTTTAAATGATACACCGTTGCAAAGATTAGTTATTTGAGCTTTAGGTATAAGTGTTTGTATTTTTAATTTCCGTGTTTATGTTTATGTATATATCTCTCTACTCTAGCACAAACCTTTTTTCTTCTGCAGATTAAATGCGTCTCTGCAGTGGTATGGAAGAAAGGACTCAAAGGACGATGAAAGGTCGCCCTCTCAAGATCCCGGCAGAGAGTGCCGTTTGCGAGAGTTAGAAACTTCCAATAAAATCTTATCAAATAAGGTAAGCAAAACTGTCAATGCCTCAGTGCCATTAACATTGTGCCTCTCTACAAACTTGCAAAGCAAGTAGAGACTACGCCATTATTGCAAAAGAGTACAAAACTACATTGACTTGCTAATTATATTTCAAATATTTTTTTATACCTAGGTCAAAGTGCTGAAACAGCAGCTGATATCACTCTCTTCATTTCAAGCAACACCAAAGCCCCCCACTTCACGAGGTGTGTCGCCATCCAAGGAATCCGTTCACTCTTTGCCCTCCAAAAGGCCGAAATCATCCACTGCGCCATCTGATCAACGGTATGTCGAATTTTTTAATTCTGTGGAGTTTGCTGCCTTAAAATCATGGAATTCGCTGTATTTTAGTAACTTTTTAGAATTCTGAATTCTTCAAATTTTCCTTTTCCTTTTGATGCCATGTATGTGTTTTTGTACGGCAATTAAACATTTTTGATCATTCATAGGGAATATTTATGAAAAGAAATAAAAGCACTCCTTCCTGAATTCATTTTGGTTTTTTACAATTTCTGGGTAATATAATTCGATTAATTACTTTTGTCTTAGATGGCTAGAGGCCGAAAATAAGAGTTCAAATAATGAATCCAGAGTCGTGTAGTTATTAAAATAGTTCTGCCAAATTAAGAGTATAAAATATTTGATGATGATTTAAAATGGCATCTCTTAATTTAATTCTTACGTACCTATTCTATGTTCATGAGAACCAATTATAAGTGAAGGTTTTCAATGTTTAAGATATTTTTAATCATAAGTGCCTTTTCAGGGGTGTTCAGCTGTTCACTGTTTGTAGATCCCCTCGATTTTGTATTTATTAGTGATGTCTTGGAAATTGTTGTCATAATTCAATGTGACAGGCGTAAAAGAAAGTGGATACACTAGTCAAAGAAATCCTCATTTTAAAATTATCAGTGACCATTGAACCTGCGCAAGACCTTTTTTTTTAAAAAATAGAAAATATCAATTCTCGACTTTTGCATTTTAATTTGTTTTGGAACAGCTCTCAGTTACAGAAACCTTTCTTAGAGTTAAAAAAAAAAACTGGGTTTAAATTAGTCAGTGAGCATCCTTTTTCATCAGTGTTGCTTGCCTTCGCTTTATGGAGTCACTGCATCCCAGGCAGAACGCAGAAGGGCACCTAATCAATGAGACAAATAGAGGATTTCCGTAGCTTCAAAGGGGGTTGAGGGACCATCCCTGGGAAAATTATGAATAGTGTAGTCGTCTGAGGAGCAATTTTGAGCTATTTTCACGGAAAAATTAATCCAATTATAATATCAAAGATGAAACATATGTTATACACATACTTAGCGTAATCCCTCACATTTCCTGGAAGGCATCCATTGGATTATACACCTCCCTCCTTGTTTTGCCCATGTGCATGTTGCAATCCATTATGATATCAGCATCAATTTTTGTCATTTGTCAAGGAATCAAGCGGAGTCAATGATGAGCACAGCCTTGGAGGAAAAAATGAATGGACAACCTCTTTTCACAATTGACGAAGTGAGTAGAATTGAGTTTGATCATCACCTAACGTAGTACTGTTTTTATGTACTTCTTCATTTTATTTACTTTTTGGCTCATGTGTACAGTATGACGGTAGGTACCCATATAGATTGGGGTGTGTAGATGGAGGTATGTGTGGTACCTCCCAAATAGCCCCATACATCAAAAATATTGAAATGAAATAGCAATATTTTACTATAACACTGCAATATTTTTAGATTAATTGGATCGTATTTTGCAAACCGGAACCAAGAGCATTCCAATGTTGCTAGGATTGTACAACTTACAATTTATATGTTCAAGGTCACATATCAGTGGCTAAATGCAGAAAATGAGTATCTCAATTGTAACGTTACAGATCTCTAAAGAACTTTTATTTCTCTATGAAAAACTTATCGAAATGTTTCCATGCAATTCTGTGTAAGTTTTTTAGAAAAAGTCAAGGAAATTTCCGTAGAAACTGTTGGTTAGTTTTCCCTTAAAAAAATTGATTATGAGTGGAGACTCACAAATTTTGCTATCTGTGGTACGTGTTTTTCGACTTTAGCCATCTTGTTCCTATTGAGGAAGCATGGAGTCAGAAATGTTAAAATTATACTTCTTTTATTAATGAGAACATTTATTTGGAATGTAAGTAATTTACTCATTGTTTCCCCAGGACTTGGAAGGCCTCAGAGGTGGAAGTCAGTTGACAGTATTTGATGGTGATCCTGGAATGCGCTCAGATTCGGCAGAAAGTGTCTGTGATATTTCTAGTAAACTTCTAGTCAATGTTGAAGTCATTCGAATGAAGAGAATGATGAAATGGCAAAATGCTCAGCTGACAACTTTATTAACCTGTGTTGACAATTTGAATCAAGAAAGTCAATCGATGAAGGAAACCATGAACAGACTATCCGAGGAAAATAGTAAGTTTTACTTAGGGGCCAACTCTACCTTATGTAATGCTACAGAAGTTTTTGCAAGCATAGTGCTAAGTCATGTGGAAATAAAGAGGAAGGAAGCTTTGTGAAATGATTTCGAAGATTTTTTTCGAGATGTTTTGTGTCGGTTTCCTCTGAGAATTTTGATGAATCGATGCTTAACGAAGAAAGATCTTAGCAGAAAATGGTCACCTTGTTATGCACTAATTGTTGTACTGTCGTACTGAGAAAGAACGTCATATGAGCCAAAATGCCAGATGTTGCCAAATTGTCTTCAATAAAATATGAATTTTCAGGGCAATTTTGAGAGTATTTTTTTTTCAAATTCTTCAGAGAATTTTATTTGCAATCAGATTTAATCTACCTGAAATTTTCAAGAGAAAATATTCATGACAGTCCTCAAAAATAAAAATTTTATCAGAGAAAATTTGGCAACTCTCAAAATTTCATACGTTGTTTTTTCTTAGCATGGCAAAGAAGCCCTATACTTTGCCATGTTAACAGCTGCTCCACTCTTTCCAGTAAATTTAACAAGATTTTTCTTAAAATATTTAAAATTTGAGGGGTTGAGAGATTGCAAATCTAATGTTACGTAACTGAGGGATGATCCCTGATTGAATCATCTTCTGTGTTTCTTTGAGGAGCTCGTAGCATTCTTAATTTTTTATGGAATCTGTGAGTCTGAGGAATCTCTTAGATGAAACATTCATTATCTGTTGGTATTGGAACCAAGAAAAGGGTTCAAAAATTTTGTCAGTGAGGCTAAATTTTGTTTGCATAATATCGGTCTCTGGAAAGGATATCAATAAAAAAAAAATTTGGCATCGGCTGATTTTCAAGAATTTTTCATTTTCTCCTTTTTTTACAGATGAACTGAAGAGTTCGCTCTCGTTTGAAAAGAAAAGATATCAAATGCTGCAACAAAATAGCACGAACAAAGAGCAGGTGAAAGTGCTTGAGGAGCAAATTCGGGATCTGCAAGTGAGAATGAGTTATTTAACCTCATGTAGCTTTCTCAATTTTTGTAAATGTTTCATCGTGCTACCCAAAATCTTATGTTCTTGTAGGTAGCTTCGAACGCTTGAAATTTTCATGACTGAAAATTTCGGCGATCAAGTTAAGATGCGTTTTTATTTATCAGATGAATTTAAGAGGTCTGGCAATGATGAGATAATGAGAAGATACAAAAACACAATAAATGTGACCTGAATACTGTAAGTACTAGGATGATGAAATAGCACCACACCATTCCACATTATCCTGTTGGAAATCAAAGCGAAACATCCAAAAATGATAACTAGAGTCGCAAAATGAGCTCTAATGAGAAGCAAGAAAATGCTAATGGATAACCAAAGTGCAAAACCACGTATCTTTGTCTGTGACATTATAGATGTCCTGTCATACTTTATTCTTTCTATAGAAAACTAATCGTAGTAATTTTTTGAAAACTTCGGCGACTTTTCTTCTTTGTCAGCACAATATTCCGCAGAAAGTTGGATATTTTCTCTTCAAAAAATAATAGAAGAGAGGAAATTTTTAAATACCGCAATAGAAATACTGGTTTTGCACTCTAGCCATCAAAATTTTAATGGGAAGCAATTCATTCCTCTAAATATGTTTACGAAGAAAATTAGATGAATGCATGGAGTACGTACACAAATTTAGGAGATTCCTCTCTAAAAAAAGAGAAAAAACCCCTCAGGCTCATATAGGGATGGTGCGAGACTTTTGATTTATCATGTATAATTTTGTCCTGCATCAGGATTTGCTTCATCTGCATTGTATCAATATTGTATTAATCTGCATTGTGCACTTTTTTCATTGCTCCTTTTCTTCTTTTATGACAGGGTGAGAGAAACACTCTTCGAGATCACAATAAAAAATTGTTGAGTTTAGCGGCAGATCATGAATCTCATAAAACTGAGCATATCAGAGCGGTAATAAAGCAGGTGAGTGTTCCAATTTTGACTATTATTTGAAATGTTAAATCTAAAGCTTGCTTTTCAAAAATTTAAATTCTGCCGTCTCTGTCTCACATAATGGTAAAATTATGAGAATCTTTCTCTCATTTACAATATTTCAAAATTTCTGATTCAATTTTATTCAATCAAAGAATTTCTATAGATTTATTTTTTTCATATAAGTTTTATTCATTATTGAAGGAACAAAGAAAAATCTAAAAAAACTCCATGCAGTGACGATCATCAGTCGATTAAAAGAAAAAGAGAAAAGTTAGATTGAAAAGAGTAAAATGTGGTAGAAAATTTTCAGTTGCAAACCAATATTGATGAGTTTTTTAGTTTCACTCATATTATAAATAAGGTAAAATAGCTAAATTTCATTGAACTACAGATTCAAGAAAGAAATACCTCCTCGCAATAGCACATAATTTGAAAAGAGAGTTATTATTGTAGATGTGTTTACAATGAAGGTAGAGGTTAAGAAAGCGTAACAATACTTAAATCAAGGTCACCAGATTGTGTGATAAAATGTGGATATTTTACATGGTTTTAAATGGGAAAATGTGCTAACTTTTCAGAACTGTCTGGCCACAATGACTTAAATGATTCCCCATCGGATTCCGTAATCTTACAGAAATAAAGACTCAAGCAATGATCATGATGCCAGCATTAATTAATTTTTAAGTACTTTAAAGGTGTTGATTAATGTTTAATAATTTTGAAAAAGCTCTATTAGCTACCATAAAAAGAACAGGAATTCTTTTTTTTTTGCTGTATACTTATTTACCCACCTATTTTTTCCTAGACCAGGGATGCTGAATGTCAGATGTCTTGTGATTCTTTCCCAGTGAAAGAATCAACAACGATTAAGTTCAGTGCACCATCCCAGAGAAAAAATCAGCGCAAGCACAAGTATGATGCACTATCTCACGAGGAGGTATCAGTAAGCTCAAAACATAGCAAACAAGATATTTCCTCAGACTTCTCCAATGCTCTTGATCTCTCCTCGTCCAGTTCTGCCATTCTTGATACGGATGAAGGTCTCTCAGGTAAATATTTCAATTGAATCTCATTGCTCTCAGTATTTTACGACACCATTCATGTGAGTACTAAGCACTGCATCAAGGATTTGTGGTTCAGAGGAATCGTGACGGAATGGCAAACCATACGTCAGTCTGTGGAGGAAAAATCGCTAATGTCTTAGAGAACAAGTTACTAGTGGTTTAATAAATTTTTGTGTTAATAGAGGATAAAAAGTTAGATTATAAATCCAGCAATTCCGTGCCCAGGACATGAAAGACTAGCATTTTAAATACTTCTCTCTCGAAACTATTTTTCTTAAATGCCAACCTCAAACCGTCATAACTCCAGTTTGATCAGACCTTTTTGGGTGTTTTCTTGTTGGAAAATCTTGCAAATCAATTTGGTGTTTCTAAATTTGGCAATGGCTGTCTCTGATCTTCCAATTGGAACTTTACATTTGTTGGTGGCTCTGCTGCATCAATTTCATCGCTTTCTAATCAAGTTTTCTTTCAGACCATAGGCTTGGTGAACCCATGGACACGGACCAAGTTGAAAGTGTTTCATTCGGTGATGCAAGTTATTCAAAAATTCCGAAAGAAAAATCATCTGGCACTATCTGTAATAAAAATAGCACAAAAAGGAAGAAAAGTAAAATGGAAGTAGATAAAAATGGACAAGAACTTCAACCAAATGCAGCTGATTGTATTCCCTCATCTGCTGGAAACGATAATGAAAAACTAGCTTCAAAGACTGAATCCAAAGATCTTCCCAACTTAGGGTATGTAAACTTTATTAGCCATTTAATATTACCATTTGCTAAGTATTTTCCTGTATAAAAAGCTAATATCCAGTTTTTTCTGTATTTTTTTAAACTTCGGTACAATTTTGAATATTACCTATATCAAGCCCATATGGATTATTCAAGTCAGCAGTCTTGCGCTTACTAATAGTGTGTATTTTTCTGTCCTCAGAAATGGCAATGAAGAACTTTTACGTGCGGAACTTGCGGAGAAATTGTGTGAACTTGAGAGGTGTCGGCAGATGCTGAAGATTCAGTGTAATCTCAATTCAATTTATAAAGACGAGGTATTTTTCTTTCATTAGTAGTCTTTTTGCGTTGGTAATTAGAGTTGATACTGATGGAGTTCCAAGATTTTTTATCTTGTTGCGTTTTAAACGTTTTCCTCTCATTTCACTGCACACAACTAATCACAATTAACAGCAGCGACATCTCACGCACCTAGTGGCAGTTTCACCTAAATAAGCTTCACCTCGGTGGCTTCAACTCGAGGTGCAATTCCAAGGAATGGTCAAAATAATATAGCAAAAGAGAAAATTAGGAAATGTTAAATGTGTTTATACTGGTTGCAGTTGAAGTCGTTCAAATGTCATACAGCAAAAAAAATTTCTGCAAATTTTGAAGGTAAATAACCGTTGGTTTCTCTCCAAAAAATTAAATTGTTGGTCAATTTGCTGCATGGCATATTAAAATGGTTCAAAATGTTTGCACTGTTTGTCTGCAGGTTGAAAAACTCTCATCACAGCTGATCAAGGAGAGAGAAGAGACTCACATTGATGGTTCCGTCAGCGCAGTGGAAGTTATGCTAAAAGAGCATTTGGCCAAAATAGAACAATTTCAAGTTACCAAAACGCTTCGGTCTCATGAACAGCAAACTGACTCCCAAGATTTTCCTGACAAATCACGAGCAGCGGAGAATAAAAAGGAAGTAACGGTTGTTGTAGGAGTCAAAGATGGCAATACTAGTTTAATAGAAGAAGGTAGGATTTTCATTCTTTAGCAATTTTCCTAGTTATCGCAGGTTTGAAGATTTTTTAAGTTTTGAATAAAAGAGGTCTTGCAAAATGTAGCTAATCTAATTTTCTCCTCAAATTGTAGGCAGATAGACAAGCAGCAGACAAATTCCTAGATTAAGGTGAATATACTGTTCTAAAAATGAAGAGATTAGAGAAAAATCGCCACCAATGTTTACTTGCGTATATTTACGTGCAATATTTACGTGCATTTTTATTTGGACATCATGAAATTTTCGTGGACGTTCACATTATTTTGCCTGTTCTTGAAAAACCTGCGCTATTGATGTACTATTTGGAGGAAAAGTCACCCTTTGCAACAAAAAGTAAATAAATTATTCTGAATTTCCGTAACTATCCCCCCCCTCCCTGGTGTGGTGAAATAACGAATACAGGTATTCTTTGATTCATGCATCAAAACAAAACTTAACGGTAACTCGACAATTTGATGCCTTATCTTAGTCCCTTTATTTGCTGTATTAAGTTTCAGTTGATTTTTGGCTTAATAATGACGAGTCCTGCAGTATTTCAAAAGCGAAATGTGCCCTGATACCTTTAATTTGAAGTTAAAACTCACTTGCTTGTGGATTACTCTACAGTGGATACAGCAGCTCTTTTGGAATGATAACTGTGAAATTTTGCACCCATGCAGAGAGGAAGTGGGTCTAGAAAAACTCATTTTCTTAGAGCTCTTCTGGGTAAAATTAAAAGTTCCATAGCCCATTAGACAACTATAAGGGTAGTGGCTTCACAATGCTTTTTTTCAATTAACTGTGCTAATCTATAATAATCCAAATGCATTTTTCTTTTCTTTGAAGATGAAGTCGTCCAAAAAAGTAATGATGCTAAAATTATGGAAAATCCTACATTTAATGCCACTGCAACATCAGTGGGAATCTCAAAGCAATTGGAGTCAACAAATCATGTTGTCTCTGATAGTAAAAGTGAAGAAAATCCGTCCCTCATTGCGCAAAATGACGTCTGTCAGTTTGAGCTCTACGTTCATGAGTTGGTTCTATCCAGTCACACTTTGACTCCAAAGTAAGTATGCAAATTTACTGATTTTTCTTCCTCTTGAAATGGACCACTAGACAAGGTACGAATTTCAGCATTCTGATACATGTTTCTTAACCAAAATTTCACGTAGAACCTGATACGCACAGCGAAAATTACCAAAATTAACTCCTTACGAAGATATTTACTGATTCTTGATGCGTGACTTCAAACCACCCGCTCATGAAAACTCAATATTCTACGTGATTCACATCGCGCGCTAAACGTTTATTATGACAGTCTTTGCGATATAATAATCTGGCAACCTCAATCTTGACGCTTCGGCTCAGCTATAGCAAATTGCTTCTAGTTTGAACGACACATGGGGGAAATGGACATTGCTCGATTGAGAAGCTTGCTGATACCGTTGTAGTGCGCAATTTAACTCACGTAGAGCTTTGAGTTTCTTGTGAGCGGGCAGTTCAAATTCCTCGTAACCAATGTGAAATAAAAACGTTAATATCTTCGTTATGAGTTGGTTTCAGTAATTTTCGTTCCGCGAATCGTGTTCTACGTGAAATTCTGGTTAAGAAACATGTATCAGATCTCTTAAATTCGTACCTTGTCTAGTGGTCCATTGAGGGGAAACTAAGATGATAAAATGTGAAAAAAACACCTGTTCTCGTGATGAGAAATGGCCATCTTCTACCAAATCTTTTTTTGCTACTCGAGGTTTGTTACATCATGCTGTTTGCTCTGACAGCAGTTCTTCTGAAATATCTTTGACTCGAAAAGTATAGAAGCTGGCTTAATTGCATACCTTACACAATATTTTTCTGATTTTTTAACTTTGCAGGAATTATAGCGCCCATGTGCAAATGAAATTCACTTATTGAATGACGGTCTTACAGCAGGCGGATTATTGAAAGCTCAGAGCGGCAGACTTCAAAATGCATTATATTGTATGGTTAAGATAGGGTCATGTTTTGTCTTCTCGAATTGATGTAGATTCAATAATCAATCCACAGGCTGCACTCCTTTTGTGGAGTATATGCTATATAAGTTTGGAGATTTAAGAGTGAGATGGAGGATCTGACATCTTGATTCTTGTATTTATTTTCAATAGTCAACTGTAGACGGCAGATCTCCCAAGGCAGTCCAAAAGCATTCAAACTTATTTTATGTGAACTGGATGTAAAGCCAATGTTTTTCTTTCTTTTTCTCAAATCAAATGTTTTTTTGCACACATGTGATAAGGACTTTTTTTTTCTTCTGCAGAACGCAGCTATTTTTGACGTGGGGTTTTTTAGATCAAGAAGAATATGCTTATTCGCCAGTGAAGCCTGTCAGTGATCTTAATTTCTCATGTTCCTGTATTTACAAAGGGCATTGCAGCGAGGAATTTCTGAAGTATCTAATCTCCGTAAGTTAAAATAAATACATTTCCTATTGGTTTTCTTTAAGCTATCAGAATAATGACTAAGTCAACACACAGCAACAGCAGGAAGACCATCACCATTAGCTAGCACAGCTTTTGGAGCTGGTTAAAATGAGCCACCCATTGCTATGTTCTTGAGTTTTGTGGGCATAGCAACTGAAAGGACAGACATATTGCCGTTTTCTAGAAGGAACACAACTTAATTCCAAATTTTCAAAATTGACCCAAAAAATTAATTTCATTACAGAACTGTAAAAGTGAAATCTCCCCCAAAATTTTCCTAAATTCATCTAAGGAAAATCAGTGGTGTTCTCAGTCAGAAATGCTGAACGATCTCCCAAAGAAAATATGATGCATAACAGTTGCAATATCTGTACAGAGGATGGAGGGGAAATAATCAAATTTTAAAATTTTTCCGCTCATCTTTCAGGAACTTTAAGTTATCAGCTAAAAGTTTGTTTTACATGATCAGTTGTTTTAATTTATTCTCATCTGCTGTTAGTATATGTAGCTAGTACATGTTTAATAAAACAAATTTTATTCAGCCGTTTTAAAACCTTTGCTCGTTTTCTGTAGACTGTTCTTTATGTTGATGGAAATGATTTCTGTGGAAAATGTAAATAAGTTAAAAATTAAATAAACCTCTGCTCATAATTTATTTCTGATTAAAAAATAAAAATCAATAAGTATAATCATATCAAGTATGAAATGATCTGAGGATTTTTTTGAAAAGCGAAAAGCAACAACCGGAAGTTCCAGGGAATAATAATAATAATAGATAATTCGTCATGTCAATCAAATAAGATGGAAAGTTTGATAGGTATTATAGATTATACATATTTTACCATCAATGGCCAAAAAAAATATTCCCCAAAATTTTAATTACCCACACTCATTTTCTCTAATTTTATTGCATAGAAACCAGATCTCAAGGAGTCATTATCAAACAACCTAGGACCAAAAATTATATTTCTGCCTCTAGTTTCAAACATTTTTCTACTTCATCTTGTCTGAAATAATTCCATTCATGCACTATTAAATCATGTAATTGATGGTGTTACAGCATGGTGTTGTCATTGAAGTGTACCAAGTTCTAGGAGAAGGATGTTTCAAGATTGCCGAAGCTATGGTCGACACTAGTGCTGCTGTTAAATTTCCATCAAAGACTCATTCCTCCAAAATCCCGCTTGTCAGTCAAATAATTGTCGGTGCTCTACATAGTTCTATTAAACTTGTGTGCTCTTGTGAATTGCGGCAGCAATTCTTATTGCAGGTACAACATTATTAAACACGTCTATTTCATCCGTTATTACCATCTGATTTTTGATGCCTTCCAGTTATAAAATTTTTCTGAGTACCTTTGTCACTAGATTTTTAAAATTGCTACATATTTTTAAATATGTTAAAGCTATGATACAGAAGAACCATGTTGTAAAAGCTGCAAAGGATTACAAAAATTTGCCAATGCAACTTATGTAATGTACGGAAAGAGAAAAAACTGACAGACTTTAAGGTAGGTACCTACGCCTTGAAGTTTTCAAAATCTGAAGTATTTTTTTTTTGGTATCTCATATATTTTGCGGTTTTAAATGATAGTAATCTCTTGTAAGGATCTATCTTTAATTTCAAACTGATGCATTTCTCTTAAGTTCTGTGACAATTGTCCTTTTCATAATGCTGTGTTAAGGATTTCCTTAAACCTTTCTCAATCAAAATTTAAACAATATCGAGGCCTCCTAAGGAAAGCAGATGTTTAACCCTTTCCGGTCCAATGTCGGATATATTCGCCGTGAAAAATAACGCGTTTAGGTCCGATGTCGGATATAGTCGCCCAAAAGTTTGAACTTCTGTGCAGGCCCGATATCGGGTATATTCGACTGCTCCAGCAAGTGGCGGCCTCTGGTGGAGCCTTTGGAAACCACTGTCTTTGTTGACAACATCGCTGCTACCTTAACCTCACTTAACGACGGCCGTGGAAAACTGCCGCGGACCGGAAAGGGTTAAGGAATGACTATGAATATGGTCCCGAGTCTTCAAATGCTTAAAGGGTAGGACTTATACTCCAAAGACTGAGGGACAAATTTAGCAGAAAAGAAACAAAAATATTACTTTCTGCAATTGTGTTTAAATTGCCGATTTAGTGGGCCAATTTTTAAAGTGGTAAATAAAATTTGTTGTTTTCATTAGTTAATTGAAGTCCAAGAATGTATTTCAAGAGTCCTGTGCCACTCTAAAAGTTGTAACTTATACTACAAGCTCTACATCAGGGAAAAGTGGCCGGTTTTAAGTAATTCGATGGCTGGCCAATTGATAAAATATTGCAATTTCCTAAGTGAAAAACTAGAGTCTGGAATTTGCATAACCCTGACTCTTCATCCCAGTTTTCTCTTGCGCTATATGATCAAAAATGCACCACACCTGAACCATGAAACTTAAAGGAAGCAAATTAAGGGTTTTAAAAAAATTACTAAAAGATCAAAAGTTGTCTCTCAATCAAAGAGCTCAGTGTATTTAACATCGTGTTAATAACATTTCCATAACCCTTGTAATATAGATGATAATACTACCTAGCCAGGTAAAAATAAACCTAAAAAATGAAATCGTTGTCACGATTTTTATGAAAACAATGATAGTTTCTATGTTTTGAATACTAGTCCTTTTTCTGTTATTTTTATGAATAGAATTACATTTTTTAATGTACTTTTGTGAAAGTATTATATCATTTTTCACTTTCTCCGCTTCGTTTCAGAGTCAAACAAAGGAAGAATTGAAAGGACCCGGTGTGGAAGCTGGACAGTGAAACAGTGCAATATAGTTTAATCGTTCAAGTCAGTACCCTTTAAATTAACTAAGGTACCGATTCTTGTAAGTAGAATGTAAGTTCTTAGACTGGTAAATATTGAAAATAAAAAACAAAAAAGAAAAGAGTTGATTTGTTTCATTGCTGATTCATACTGTTAACAGATTCGCCAGAGAAAAAATCCCTGGCTCTTCCAGGTTTTCCTAACCAAAATTATCAAAATCTCTTGACTTTTCATGTCGACCCTTCAAACACATAGAAGTGATCAATTTTTGACAATAATTTCACCATAAATGACTGAAAGTTGAGAATTTTTTTCCCCTTTCACTGCTTTCAGTATAATAATAATACTCAATCAACCATACTTGCAATTTTTTATTAAGAATTTCTCCTCTATTTACTACTCAGAATGTAAATCAGAGCATTGAACCCTGAGGAAGAATAACTTTGATCGTGTGGACAGCACTGATGTTTTTTAGATTTAAAGTTTCAAGATTTTTCATATTTCCAGTCTTTTTCATTAAATTCCCTGACTTTTCTCCAGCCTTGTCCTTTAGCAATGCCTATTTTTGAAGACCAGTGGACGTATAATGCTGCTTTATTATTCGTTCAGGTTCACTTGACAACCTTTTGTGACCTGCAAAGAAGAAAAAAAAACGCTGTAAGAACTATCAAACATTAAAACAATTTTCATGGAACTTGTGATTTTTTTATAGAATCATCATTGTTTCATCGAGTGTGTGTAAGAATTTCAACGAAAAATCTTCTTGTTTTATCAAAGTAAAAATTATTTGGAAGGCAATTGAGCAGCTTTTGAATGTTTGAGTGGCATTTTTTTAAAGCACAGCAGTGTTACTAACAAAGTTTTTGACTCCTGTAGGGGCATTGGTTCCAAGTTGTTCATTCATTTAAAAACAAATTGATTGAAAAGGGAGTATTGCCTCCCTAAAATTATGAACAATTAAATATTTTGTCTTTCTTCTATCTATTTCCAACTCATTTGATATTCCTACAAAAATATTACATAAAATTAACGTTACATAAAAAGTCATACACTTGTTGATCGCGAATAAAAAAAATCATCAAAATTGGTCTAAAAAACCCGTTCTGTGGCGTAGGAAGCTCCGTGAACGATAGACCATGCGCAATTGATTCAACGCCTCGGACTACGTAGGATTGGCGACTTATCTAGTAATGTTTATCCCTTCCAAAATCGAGAAAAACCGACAAGGGTTCGACTAAAATTTTAGAGTCAAAATTTAAAGTTCTCCGATTGAACTTAAACCAAAGGATAAGCCCATGTAAAATGATCCGAGGAGTCCGATTTTCCGGTCTAAAAAGCCCCACGAGTTTGCTGGACTGCGCGAGCGGCGGAAAAATCGCATGGGAAAGAATCATCAAAAACGGTCAAAAACTCACGTTTTTCGTCTGAGGAAACGGTGGGGAGACTCGGAATCTTGCGCAATCGATTCTACGCCTCGAACTACGGAGGATGCGACTGAAATCTCGAAATTTTTTTCCTGTCCAATATCGGGAAAAATCGACAGGGGTTCGGGGTTACATATACAGGGTGTTTCAGACCACCCGTACCAGGCCTTTTTCTCGGTTGGTTTAGGTCGTACGAAGTCGAAGACCGCGGGGTTGAATAGGGAATTGACCCCAAGGAATCCGAATTTCGTGGTCCCGAAACCCCCCCACCCCCCCTTGGGGGGTAAAGGGGGGGTCACGATGCTAAAAGTCACGGTTCCCGACCGAATTGCGGATGGATCGCATCAGAATTGAAAAGCACGGAAAATTTCACGTGAAATTGACCCCTAAAAATCCAAAATCGGACCATCCAAGGCCCAAAGATGATCCCCTAAATAGGGGGACAGTACCCCCCTCCATAATTTCTCTTTGGTCTCAAAATTGACGTAAATTCTCCAGAAAAAGACGGTTTGTTAGGTAATCGACCTCGAGAAATCCAAATTTCATGGTCCCGAAGCTCCTCTAGCCCCCCTTGGGGGGTAAAGGGGGGGCCAAATGTTAAAAATCGGGGCTCCTTTCCGAATCGCAAATTGATTGCATCCAAATTGAGGAGCAGAACACATTTACATCCTAAGTGACTCCTAAGAGTTCTAATAGACCCCCTGAACGGCAGAAAGTAACTCCCTGAGGAGGGGGGCCTCGCCCCCGCCAAAAATTTCTCAGGATTCCTCTTTGGTCGCAAAATTGACGTCGATTCTCCAGAAAAAGACGGTTTCCTATGTAATCGACCCCGAGGACTCTAAATTTCAAGTTCCTTGAGCTCCTCGGGTCCGATTACATAGGAGACCGTCTTTTTCTGGAGAATCGACGTCAATTTTGCGACCAAAGAGGAATCCTGAGAAATTTTTGGCGGGGGCGAGGCCCCCCTCCTCAGGGAGTTACTTTCTGCCGTTCAGGGGGTCTATTAGAACTCTTAGGAGTCACTTAGGATGTAAATGTGTTCTGCTCCTCAATTTGGATGCAATCAATTTGCGATTCGGAAAGGAGCCCCGATTTTTAAAATTTGGCCCCCCCTTTACCCCCCAAGGGGGGCTAGAGGAGCTTCGGGACCATGAAATTTGGATTTCTCGAGGTCGATTACCTGGGAAACCGTCTTTTTCTGGAGAATTTACGTCAATTTTGAGACCAAAGAGAAATTATGGAGGGGGGTACTGTCCCCCTATTTAGGGGATCATCTTTGGGCCTTGGATGGTCCGATTTTGGATTTTTAGGGGTCAATTTCACGTGAAATTTTCCGTGCTTTTCAATTCTGATGCGATCTATCCGCAATTCGGTCGGGAACCGTGACTTTTAGCATCGTGACCCCCCCTTTACCCCCCAAGGGGGCGTGGGGGGGTTTCGGGACCACGAAATTCGGATTCCTTGGGGTCAATTCCCTATTCAGCCCCGCGGTCTTCGACTTCGTGCGACCTAAACCAACCGAGAAAAAGGCCTGGTACGGGTGGTCTGAAACACCCTGTATATGGACTAAATTTTAGGGTCAAAATCGGAAGTTCTCCGATCGAGCCGAATCCAAACAAATCCGCATGGAAATGACCTGCTGAGTCCGATTTTCCGGTCGGAAAAACTTCACGAGTCTGCTGGAGCGCGCTATTGGCAAAAAACGCGAGCGGTCGCTCTTTCACGAAAACACTTTGACGGTTTCTCGGCTCAGGAAGCCTCGCCGAGCGTCGGGACCACTCACCACTCTCAATCGATTCTACGCCTCAAACTACGTAGAACGCGACAGAAATCTCGAAATTTTTTTCCTGTCTAAAATCGGGAAAAATCGACAGGGACTAAATTTTTAGGGTCAAAATCGGAAGTTCTCCGATCGAGCCGAAACCGTTTGGAAATGACCCGGAGAGTCCGACTTTCAAGTCGAAAAAGCTCCACGAGTCCGTTGACCCGCGCGATCGGCGAATAACGCGAGTACGTTGAACTTTCAAAAACGAGTGTTTTTGACCGTTTCTCGGCTCAGGAAGCCGCGAAGAGTCACGAGATCATCCGCGATCGATTCCACACCTCAAACTATTGTAGGATTCTACTCTGATCTCAACAATTTTTACTTAACCAAAATCAAGAGAGAGCGCGACATTGGTTACATGCACTGAAATTTCGGGGTCAAAATCGAAAGTTCTCCGATCGGGCTGAAACCGAGTTAGTCCGCTTGGAAATGACCCGCTAAGGCCGATTTTCTGGTCGGAAAAGCTCCACGAGTCCGCTGAACCGCGCCATTGGTGAATGATTGCACGCGAGTGAATAATCGAAAAAAGTCACACCCGTTTCACTATGCTCGAATTCGGTTTGAACTTACCGTGCTAAAATACTGTTGAAAAAACCGCTGGTATTTTGACCGGCATGGACCGTTGTTGATTAAGTATTTCACGTAATTTTTCATTGTTTACCACGGAAAAATCATGAGGTGAAAATTGGTGATTAGGCTCTTCGAATGCCTCCTTGTTAGTAGGTATTCATAATCGCAGAATACCGGCAGGGAGTCGTTGTCTGTCATTACTTACAGCTGCATTTCCACGGCTCTTTGCGCACTTCCCGCACATTTTTTTTTGTTTGAAACAAATTATACAAGGTGTAGTTCCTTCCCTACACAATATATTGCATAAATATTTACACTTATGTCTTTTATATCAAACAGAATATTTGAATTACCCAACGAGAATATTTTACAGATACGCATTGTCAAATAATGTTCGCCAGATTCTATACGTATTCGGAGAAAATATCGTCACCTTCCGGCCAAAGTATCACAAGCGCCATGCGACGTTTCAAAATTTCCGCCGCGATTTTATTTTTTTACAGAGAAATTTTTGGTTGGATCTATTTGAAAATTTTACTGAATTTTATCGGCAGTGCAAAGAAAATTCAGTGAAATTTTCTGACAGCTTCGTTGGAAAATTTTTCTGTAAAAAAATAAAATGACGGTGGAAATTTTAAAACGTCGCATGGCGCTTGTGATACTTTGACCGGAAGGTGACGATATTATGTTTAAACATTTTTTAATAAGTTTTGTATGTAGCACCCCTACCACCATGAACATATTATTACACTTGAATTTAGTCAGAATTTAGCAAAATGTTCTCATTAACGCGATCTTTAATGGTTTTTTTTTCTTTCTCTTTTTCTACGCACGCAATGGCGATTTTATTTAAAAGAAATCATTATAGAAATGATTATAATTACCCCATTAAACAAAGTTCTCGCTTTAACTTTTATAATCTTGATGATAGTAACAGCAAGCTGCAATCTCAATGTTTATCCGATGTTTTCTTAAAAGAGAAAATCGTCTCTCCAATGTCTTTAAGTAGGTAAGTTTCATGTCCCACATCCACAAATTCATTATAATATTTTATAATAAACTGCAATCTCATGTTGATCTCCAGCACACCCATGCACCTGTGTGAGGAAAGTTGCGATGGTACAACCTATGCGAAAATTGGTGAAGTATCACAGACTCGTCTACAGCCATTACTCGTTTGCCCCACGGCGGCTGGCCGAGTACCTTAACTCTTTTCGGAAGGATTGCGAAACACTATCCCGAAATCCGAATACAGAAAAAGTTTAAAAAAATGGACCCCTAGACAAGGTACGAATTTCAGCATTCTGATACATACTTCTTAACCAAAATTTCACGTAGAGCACGATGCGCACAACGAAAATTGCCAAAATCGACTCCATACGAAGATATTTAATGATTCTTGATGCGTGAATTCAAACCACCCGCTCATGAAAACTCAATGCTTTACATGATTCACATCGCGCGCTAAATAATTATCATGACAGTCTCTGCGATATAAAAATCTGGCAACCTCAATCTTGACGCTTCGACTCAGCTATAGCAAATTGCTTATTGTTTGAAAAACACGTGGTGAGAAATGAACATTGCTCGATTGAGAAGCTTGCTGAAACTTTTGTAGTGCGCGATTTGACTCACGTAGAGCTTTGAGTTTCCTGTGAGCGGGCAGTTCAAATTCCTCGTAACCAATGTAAAATTAAAATGCTAATATCACCGTAAGGAGTTGGTTTCAGTAATTTTAGTTACGCGAATCGTGCTCTACGTGTAATTCTGGTTAAGAAACATGTATCAGAATGCTTAAATTCGTACCTTGTCTAGTGGTCCATTGAGTTTCACTTCGGTTAAAGTTACATGAAAACAGACACGATACGGCGGTAGACACGTCGTCCATGAACGGCCGTGCGCATCGCAACCGAAGTCTGCCAGCAACGTATTACTCCCGCACTTAATTGTATATCGATTAGTGTTATTATTAAATTTCAGTAATCCCTAAATCCATGTACTCAAGAATGCCCGTCGATTTCATTCGTGTTTTTGGCAGAAAATCCGCGATTGAATCTCCCGTTCGAACTGGTCTTTGCGCAAGCGGCAAGCCGTCACCACCTAGTCCGGAGCAGAACTGAAGAGGGTCAAGCAACATTTTTGGTGTAAAGGGCACATTTCCTTGCAAATAAATTCCATCTTATTGTCGTCCTTGTTTCTCTCTTCATCGAAAAACATGCCATGCCATCCTTTGATGATTTCAAGCGCCGACCCTTCCAAAAACGACTATTGTCTTGCAAAATATTTAAGTAGACACGATAAGACTCGTGAAAAAACCGGTTTTCATACACTACTGCAATATATTATTCCATACCTATTGTTGTCATCCCATTAGGTATACAGATGCGCGGTCCTGATACGAAATGGACCAAAATTGAGGAGAGCCGTGTGCGAGTGGCGACCGGTTATTATCGGGTCGATGACCAATTCGCGGACTAGTAAGCTCTGGTAAAAATTGGCGATAAGAGCTGCGTTTCAACATACCTTAGGAATTCTTATAGCCGGCTAGAGGAGGCTACAGAAAATCATATAGCTGGCTGTAGAATGCGGAGAAAATCATACGGTCGGGCTATGCAAAACGATAAAAAATTATGCAGCCGGGCATTATGTTCCTATAGCCGAGCTTTACACTTTATCGCCTGGCTGTTGCTTTTTCGTCATCGATTATAAAAGGCTATAATAAATTGTGTAGAAATTCGTGTGCTTTGGAAATCATTAAGTTTGATATACGGAACCACCTTAATATTTACAAAACACACATTATATTTTCCTTTAATACATATTTTTTTTTCATCAATTAAAACGAGAATAATCCATACAGGATGTGCAAACATCTCAAAATCATGAGTTGAATAACGCTGGCTCCGCCAGATTAAATGGACGTATTTCTACCAAACAGACCTATGTGGAGGTGAGAAATATGGGGTGTGCTCGTTAGTTCTCCTTGCGTAAGAGTGAATGAGAATAATTGTGCGCCAGTGACGTCAGCTGCAATGATCGAGACCACGCGCGAGGGGGAGATCGTCGTCGGGGCGCTGTAACTCATGAGCCCTGTCCACAACGCTCTCTTGCCATGTCCGCGGCTCATGAATCTCGTATTCAGTTGGCACATAGGTCTGTTTGATAGAATGTAAAATCCCGCTTTTCCAATTCTTCAAAAGGAATCACGCCCACTTTTACATTGCTTCTTATGCAGCTTTCTAGAGCACACCCCATATTTCTCACCTGCACATAGGTCTGTTTGGTAGAAATACGTCCAAATATTAGAGCAGAGCCTAACACAAAGCGGAGCGGCGACACACTGGCGCCTACAAACCTAACAGGGATACTTCACGCATTGCGCAACGCGTGAAGTATCCCTGTTAGGTTTGTAGGCGCCAATGCGCGTTTCGCGCTGGCTGCCCGCCTGCCGCACCGCAGCTAGAGTCCCTTTATACCCAGAGTTAAGACAACTCGATTATCAGCTGACTGGCAGCCGGCCTTGGCTGGCCATGGAGGCACAAACGAGTGCACCAAAATTACTGGGAAAATTGTGAATATTAATTTTTTAAATTTTCGGACAAATTTGTGCGCATTTTAATCTAAAATATCTGAAAATTTCAAGGATTTACATCCATGGATGTTATCAAAAATATATGTTTTAGGTATAAAGGGCTCCATAATTTTTCGTATTCGATAGCAGGAAATTCGGTTCAAAATTTAAAGTCGTAAATTTGGATTGTTTCTCATGGAAGAGATGAAGTAAGAACGGAAATTTTGAAACACAGCAATGGAGATACGTGGTTTCGCACTTTAGTCGGTGCGATACGGACATCCATCAAGTTTAAATAGTTGCATGAAGTCCCCGTCACCGCCGATCAACGCGTCTGTCGATCGTATCAACTACAAGTAGTAGGACCAGGAGTCAAAACGCCTTCAATTTTTTGAACGCAATACGGACATCCGTCGAGGTTGTATAGTTGTATCAAGGCGCCGTAGCAAACGCGTCCCATTGTTTATCGTTACAGATGAATATAAGTTGAGAGAGGAATGTCATGACGCCTTCAATTTTACACGTACATATTTTTGGGCAAAATGAGAGACGACGTTTCTCCATTTGCGACGTTGCAGACTTCCTTTGAAATTTTAATTTTCTTCCGAGAAGCTCGTCAACATAAAACTTAAATTCTCCATGATTTTTGGTATTCGATAGCAAGAGATTCGGTTCAAAATTTAAAGTCGTAAATTTGGATTGTTTCACATTGAAGAGATGAAATAAGAACGGAAATTTTGAAACACCGCAATGGAGATACGTGGTTTCGCACTTCAGTCGGTGCGATACGACATCCATCAAGTTTAAATAGTTGCATCAAGTCCCCGTCACCGCCGACCAACGCGTCCGTCGATCGAATCATCTACAAGTAGTAGGAGCAGGGAGTCAAAACGCCTTCAATTTTTTGAACGCAATACGGACATCCGTCGAGGTTGTATAGTTGTACCAAGGCGCCGTAGCAAACGCGTCCCATTGTTTAAGTTAATTTGTCTTTGTCAACAGGGGTCTTGTGGTGCATTAACAAAGGAATTAGGTATTGATATCTTCTTCTACTTGATTTTTACATATTGAAAATTGGATGAATTTAAAGCCTACAGTGTCCGAATGAAATTTGTCCAAAAAATGCCCCGTAATTCCAAGAAATGAGTGTTTAGGGAAAAAGCACATGGAACAAAAAGTTCCTATAATCAGTCATAAAATTCGAATTTAAAGTCGAAACATACTACTTAGGAGGGTATTATCCTTCCCTTTTGAAACATTCGAGGAAAGGGGGACACTCCCTCCCCCTAAAACCAAAATTTTCTTCGAATTCTTTGAGGTCGATTTGCCCAATAAAACTTTTCGGCCTTTTCCGAGAAAAAGATAGTGGAATGGTGAGGGGGAACACCTAGTGTACATATTTTGATACACTTTTTTTTACGTTTGATTTGACACTCTGATTTGTATTTTGTAAGGTATTTTAGCTGCTAGGGTCGGCTCAGGAAACCTCACCGAGCCTCAAGACCATACGCAATCGATTCTAGGCCTCAAACTACGTAAGACTCAACATTAATCTAGACATTTTTTCTCTGTCCAAAATCGAGAAAAATCGACAGGGGTTACTTTGTTGATTAAAATTGTAGGGTCAAAATCGAAATTTCCTCTCGAGCTAAAACGAAGCTAGTTCTAGCTAGCAAATCAAACTCTCTGGGTCATTTTACAGGGGACTAACTTCAATTTGGTCTGAATCGAACACTTTCATCTCACTTTTTTCTCATTGGCACTTATCAAGACAAATGTTAAAAATTATTTCTTATTTTGATAAGTTGAAGAACTTGGATTTGAGGTACTTAGAAAATGAACTCCCCTACAATTAACAGCTGAAGAGATGATTCCAATGTAAAGTTAAAAAAATGCATCCCTCTTTAAAAAGTTAAAAAAAGATGGTGCTCCTGTTTTAAAATTTTTTTGAAAATTTAAAGTAAGTCCACAAGGTTTAGGACGCCTGGACTTAAGAAGAGCTCTTGCAAGTATCTAGTAATGTCAAGGGTTTGAAAAATTTGGTCAGTTTTGCTCAAAAATTGACGGTCTTTAGATATTGGCATTGATTATATCTGATCAATTTCCTGAGTATGCGTACAAATGACCTAGTCCAAAAATAATTGAGAGCTTGACCGAGTACAACATTTTGAGGGATTCCTTTTTGATGTTTTGTCTGCAAAAATTAAAAAGAAAAACAGTAAATTATTAAAAATAAAAGTAGATTTATTGCAAAACAAACGTAATAAAAATATAAAATGAGTATTACGTACATAAGTGGGATAAAGCTCTGATTGACAGTAATCTTGAAAATGTATTCAGTAAATTCGTTGTGCTCCTGTAATGTCTCTAAGCTAAAAAGAAATTTCTCCCGATTACCAAAAGAAAGAGGGAAAAAGATTGATTTATTGCACGATACCTGTATAGATGGTAGTTAACAAACGAAAAAAGAAAATGATTGAATTTAAGAGGTAACAGAAACATACATTTTGATTTTTAACTCCGTAACATATTCACATTAACTGGTAATTGATAAGAAAAAAAGCAACATTTGCCAATTTTTTATTCAGTCTTTGGATTGAAAAGAGAGGGCTGTATGCACATTTTTTTATATTCTCCCACAACAAAAGATATCTATACAACAGACAAGAATTATTTGATTTTCGAAAATAACGGGTAACTTTTGAAACAGAATTTAAATGCAGTGGGGAGCCTTTAAATCACATGATGAACTTTGGCCAATGGAACTCATCTCACACTGGTTTCAAACCTTCTGAGAGGCGATTTTGCAAGTGGCAATACTGTTTCCCTTCCCTTTAAATCCATAAAAAATGTCGATTTTGTGTGAGGCAAGCTGCCTCACCAAGAACAGATTGTTTTAGAGCAATTTAAATAGAGGAAAAACAGAGTTGTCAACTTTCAAGAATCGCCGCTGAACCTACTGTAAAATAGAGTCCATGCAAAATAAAGTTGCACATTTTTACAGTGGGACAGAAGAACAGCTGTCTTCAGTTTAGTATTGAAAGTAAACACAATAATTAAGATGGTGGATCTCCTGTCAAGCACTAAAAGTGCGTAAACTTATTTAGCATGGACTTTACTAGACTAAATTTTGCAATACTAACATAGCAGGCTGAAATGAGGCGAGAACTACCCAGGGCTTCAATTAAATCTAGATAATTATACACACAAAAAATTACAATTGATAAAACAACGATTCTAAAATTGGAAAGTTTAAACGAATTGACTTAATGGACAAGCCTTAAAAAATTGATGGTGAGTCAATAGCGGCGTTTTAACATTGATTAAATTTTTCAAGAGGAAAATAAATTGACTTAATGGTGTGAAAGTTTCAGAGTATTCTTCTTGCACAGAAGAAAATTTTCAAAGATTGGTTTTCGATTCCAAATAAACCTGTGACAGAAAATTTGGAATGCCAAGGATTGAATTGATGCTTTCAGGGCTAAATCATTAAAATCGTCGGAGTTGCTTCTTGCATGGAATGTAACAGTCCACATTTTAGCATGATACTGTTCAAATTTGTGCAATTCCCACACAAATTCAGCGAGAAGCTGGGGCTGCCTCAATTTTTCTCACATCTATTCTTTGCAGTTTTATTTTACAGTTCTCATGGGGATAAAAGCATATTTTAAACTTGTATTGAAATTGACGAAAAAATTCTTTATCAACAAAGTAAAGTTGATAAATTTTAACTAGGATTAACTAAGGATGAGGGACTTTAACATGCTGAAAACAATGATACAGGTTGATCAGTTTCCAAGGAGACCAATCTATGACGGGATAAAAAAAAATTAAATAGGTCCCTTGCACCAAAATCCATTCATTATTCTTTTTTTGGTACCTACTTTATGATATATCATGAATTGCTCTCCACTAGATTTTGACTTTTTTTAATCATTCCACACATAAACCTACCTAAACCCAAATAGGTATCGTTTTTCATTGATCCCATCATTTTGTCTGCATACTGAACAATACATCAGAATTGCCAAGTTAGTTTTTTTTTTTTACAAAAAACCTAATCCATGCAGTAAATATTTCGATGTCCAAAAAAAAAAAAAAAAAAAAAAAAAAAAAAATTATCTTGTCTTCTTTGTTGCTCAGTTTTTTTAAAAGAGGCTTTTAGCGCAATAATCTCAAAATGTCATGCTATTCCAGTCAACGTGTGGTTTTAACAGTTACTGCATGTCTTTTAAAATTGAAAACTTACATTCAATATGTTCTGTTACAAATTTTGATTCCTTTAGAATATGGCTAAACCCATGGACTTGAATTAATTTCCACAATGAGGAAACAATAAAATAGGAAATAACCTTCCTACAACCATCGCAAAATCATGGATCTAATGGTGCAAGACGTTAAGAGAAAACTTAAGCCAGTAAGTTCATGGTTTGCAGTGTTCTGCCTTCCCTCTAAAAATTTTGGAGCCACCTTGGCAGGAAAGCCCTGCTTGTAGGGAGCCATCTACAATTTTCAGGAGCCAAATTAACTTTTTTCATATGCATCATGGCACATGAAATTGCGAGTTCGAATAGTTGACATAGTGCTAAAACTTTTTTAAGCGCTATCATGGTCCAGCTTCCCCAATTTTTAGACGCCACAGCCTGATTTTTCTGAGCATTAGGTGCATGGCGCCTGAAAAAGGCAGGACATTGATGCTTTGGGAGGGGAGGGGTATATAAATAGAGTAAAACAAAATAAAATTTAAAAAACAAAAACAAAATTCTAAGAAGTTGTAAAAATGAACCAAACTAGAAAAAAGAATATGGTTAGCCAAGAATACATGAAAAATCTCTGTCATACAGCATACTCTAATACTCTGAGAAAAGCCACCCGGAGTTAAATTTTCTTCAGAGAGATCTAAATTAAACTTTGTGAGTCTGTTCTCTTCAATTTGAGAGTACTCTGCAAAATGGAAACTGTTCCCATTATCTTGGTGAGCCACTAATCTGTATTCACTTCCTAGTATGTCTGACTGCCGCTGTTCATTCAAGCTAAAAATAGATCTCCCAACAAGAAAAGAGAAATTTATGCTTTCTTCCAAATTTTTCAAAAAGGCATTTAGTCTTTTCACTGAAGACTGTAAAACCAGTGCACAGTACGAACGGAGCATAAGTGAATGTCAATGAGCTTCACTGGAACAAGAGATTGGATGAGTCTATAAATTAGACTTGAGGAATGGTTTCAAATACTTGTGGAAAGATTCATCGACTGGTTCAGCGTTCAAAGGACTTTTATTTGCTTCCGCAAAAAGCCGCTCATAAACATTGCCGTCGTAGGCTCCTAGCGCAGACCTAAGCACAGCATCAGATATGTCAAAACCATCCACGATTCCCACAGCGTTTGGTCGTATCTTGTGAAGTAACGTTTCCAGCCACTCTTGTATGCTTGGAACATCAGAAGAACGTAGTCCCGCATACTGAAAAAAAAATCGGCAATGATGAGGGGTACTATTGAAAACTTGAAGTTTAGGATTAAAAAGCCTCGGTTAAAAGTAGGTCAAGCATATGTGTCAATTTTCAGTGAGCGCTGTTTTCATTAATAAAGGATGTAGAAACTTTTATCAGGACTTATCTCTGTACTTATATAACAGTACAGGAAGAGAGGGTGGTAAGTCACATCAGAGTTTGTCCAAAGTGTGAAAGCTCAAGATTGCTTGAGTAAAGAAAAAAAAGAACGCTGAAGTCATTCACAATTAGTTTTACAAATACATCAAGCTGGAGGAAACATATGGAGTTGAGAATTATGTGGAAGTTGATGGCATAAATTTTCTAGAAAACTGAGAACTTGTTGGCAAAGTTTGGACGATGCCTGGTTTGCTTAGAAGGTTCTCCTTTCCCTGCGCAACGTATTTTCTTTTAAATCTGTGGGATTAAAAAATTATTGCAATTGGGCTACTGCATGATGAAAGTCCCGAGATGAATTTTAGCAAGAAATTTGTAACTGAACTTAAAAAAGCTCAAAACAGCTTTAATGACAGGGGAAAAGAGGCTGACATTTGTGGTGACATAATGAAAAATTCATATTGGCTTCAGTAAGCAAGTGAATATAAAAGTTTTGAGTAAAAATGCAAAAAATTACCATGAAGAAATCGCCAAGATTATCAAGAAGAAAATATGTACCATACAGTTCACATAGTTCGATCAGGACCTTCTTGAGCTCTGGAGACACTTGCGCACTAGTGGCAAAATTGATGAATATTTGCATCATAAATGCTCTGCAGTGTGTCTGAAGAAACATGAAACAAAAATATGAAATTACAATTGTTGATTTAAGGAGGTGAGAGTAAATTTTAAAAATCTGTCGGAATCATAAAAGCCTGAATAAAATCTTCAAAGAGGTATCAAGTGAAACAAAAACTCACAACCATCAGGTAATACTGACAAAATCTCTTGAGCATTAGTTCAAATCTGCATGTATCTAGAGAAAAACTTAACATGCCAGAATATCCAATAAGAATATTTAGGAACTTGAGCCCTTTGCATTTAAATTTTCACAAAATTACTTAAGTAAAGTTGTACTTGAATTTTACAAGTTTTGGTCGACAAAAAGTAAAGAGATGGAATAAAGTGGTGCATACTGTAGGTAAAGTTATAAACTATTCATAATTCTTGGATCAATTTTTTCTGCCGGAGCTCAGTGGCAGCTCATTTCTGCCGGAATTTTTTTAAGCTTGCACGTCGACTCCCTGTCATAAGGCTTGATTCCCTCATTGCGTTAGAATTTTTTAGTGGGAAAGCAGGAAGCGTGACTCAAAAAAATGATATAATATCAAAGGGTTGAGCAGTTAGAAAGTAAAGAATCATTGGTTCGGGAGAAAGTTTGCTGAATGGGGAAAAATTAAATCAGGTTCCTTCATTTTGGTCAGATAAGATTCTGAGAAAGCAAAGGAACTAACCTCAGCAGCTTTGGCAAGTTGGATTGAAACTTCGTTCCAAGCATCCTCAGGGGCTACACCTACTAGAATTCTTCTTTCAATGGAAGTTGCGCAGGTTTCAATATTCCTGAAAAGTGAAGATAAAAATGAAAATGAGAATTTTATTTAAAATTTAGTGCACTGACTAAGGGTAAAAACTGAAATAAGCAAATTTTTGTGGTCATTCAACAACTTTAAATAGAGGTATTTTTGTCTTAATCCATGATTCAAAGATTTATCAAATCAGGACAAATTGAGGAAATTCGAAAAAAAGTTTTAGTAGCGATGATATGCACCAACATGATTATGTACTTTTTCTTAAAGAATATTTCTCCTATTTGTAAAAGTGGATATTTCTTAATATAAATGAAATAAAATGGAATCTAGTTTATCCGGCAGAATGAGGCAATTAGGTTGATTGGATAACCAAAGGTTTATCCAAACCCTAAAAATTTAGCTCGCTCTTTCTGATAGGAGCATCATCTGCAGCCACCTTTCCCAAAATGTTGTCGATCATAAAAAATTAAAACTTTTTTTCCCCCCATAAATGTTTTGCTTGTCAACAAGGAAAAATTTAATAACATGATAGCAGCAATGGGAACAAGAGGGTCCTAAAATCTAAGTCCTACTGCTTCAAAACTAAAATAAAACCACACAACAATCAAACTTACCCAGCTGCTACCCTTTTGAAAGCAATTCCTAGGTGTTGGAGGCTGTTCACCCATAATGATAAGGGCTGCAAAGGCATAGTCTTTAAATACTCTACGGTTTCTGTTAGATTGCCGCCACTGCGAGCTTGTTGCCATGCTTTCACAAGGAATCTGTATCGACAAAAAGGATACGTTAAAAAATATGTCACATTTTATGATGGTTAAATAATTAATGTAGTACTGTTTAATGTCGAACCTGATTTACACATATTAAAGCAATGAAAATAAAATACAGGAAGCTAGTGACATTAAAGGAAAGGGACTAATTTTTATCAGAGAAAAGTTGGATAGAATTTAGACGTCAAATGTCACGCCAATGCCAGGGTTAATGAGTTTTTGGACTCCCGCCCTTTTTGTATTTCTTAATTCAAATGATGGATAAAAAACAAATGTTGACTAGCCTTGCGGTCTGCAGTAGTAGGACTGTGTTTTCTCCCTCATATGTTTCAGCAGCAGTGACCATGCCATAGGTAGAGGGGAAATTACTGGAGTTCATGTAACCGTGGCCTCCGGTAGCTAGACGACAAACTTCTATTGCTTTTGCTGAATCCTTCGTGCAAACTGCTTTTAAACAACAGGCCATTGCGTGGAGCTGAAAATGAAAATAACACCAAGTTAAAATGTGATTCAAATTGGGTGTATTTTTTCCATAGGTTCTGGTCTTAGTGCTTATTGTTTTAAATATTTTGAAAACGCTTGATAAAATCTTGGAAGATCCGGTCTACTGCTACCTTGTCTTTTTACTTTTATGCACTTTGGAGCTTGTAGCGGGTAAGTTGCGCTTGTCACAGAATCGAGTTCAGATGATTTCTGATTATAGATCAGCACAAAATAATATAATCTGTCCAAAAACCAAGTATTTACATACAATATTAACGAAGACTTTGCTTTTAAAAAACCATAGCATATGGTGACATCCACTGCCATAGTGCATATCTTGGTTTCTTTTTCTTGTTTGCTTTCATACTTTAAGTTGAGTAATCAGTGTAAGTGTGCATCACTAGTTGATGAATGCAGGGTGAGAGACCATAAGATGTACTGCCGTACTGTACAATGTTACACACTGTCTTTCCCAAAGTGCAATATCTCCTTTAGTAATTACTGCGGGTTTTCATTCAAACAAGGGAGCGGTGCACGGAAAGAGTTGAGGACGTGCTGATGCAAACTCATCAAAGGAACATAGGCGGGTTTTAAAATTTGACACTCCCACTGCCTCCAGAAATGACCCTAAATAATTCTTGAAAAGAGCATGACTTTTTCCCAGCGTTGCTGTGAGTGTGGAAATTCCCAAGTTTCTTTTCAATGGAAATAAACTTGAACGGAGGAAGTTGGATCAGAAATTTCCTTCATTGAACTGCACATTAATTTTGAGCCTTCAATACAATACATGCATTGAAAAGGTGAGGTTCCTATGGGATTGGAGAAAAATTCCGCAATTTGAAGAATTAATTACATCAAAACTTATTGAAACAAAGCCCTGAATTTCACCTTATCAATACCACTAACACAGCACCTACGTTCAGCAAAATTTTTATTCTTCCTGCAGCATTTCCCCCTTAATCAGTAACCTTCGCTCAAAAGTATTCAAATTTGTAGCTCTATATCCCTGTAAGATCTAAACTGCAACTTTAGACACTTCGAGTCAGGGTATGCTCCAATTTTTTTGCATGAAAAACCAATTTCAATTGTGAAGCATGCGCATGCAAAATCAAGCCTGGGAATGAAAGAGTTAAGAATTATGACTTGATTCAGAGAGAGCGAACATAGAGTGATATACAATGGAGAAATTAACCTGACACATTGTTTCCTCTTGTATTTGAAAAAAGAAGAGGAAAAAAAACACAACTTACTTCGGGCAATCGCTCCAAGTCTCCTCGATCTAACTCGGCTGTGACTGAGTTGTATATGTCCCACAACCAATCAGCTGAACACCTCATTGCAAAGCACATCGCCATGGGAGGGAAAAGTTTGTGCTGTTGTGTTCTGTATTCTAAGATTTGAGTTTCCCCAGCACTACAAAACAATCCATAAAACTGTATTAGATGAAAGAAAAACATATATTTCGTAATATCAATGGTGAAACTACTAGACAACATACCTCAGTTTGCAACATTGCAGACTTCCTGTCATACCTTATTTTCTAAATGGAAAACTACTCGATGGTAATTTTTAAAAACTTCCGTGATTATTCATTTCCGTGCAAAGAAAAGTCTGTGAAAACTTCAAGGAATGATATTGGTCTGTTTTCTTTCAAAAAAATAAAATTGGAGTGGAGATTTTCAATTCTTACAAATTCATCAATGGATTAAGAATTTTTCTTTTGCCTTCTCCAAAAATGTAGATTATCAACGATTATCATTCAAATGCATTCCAAAAATTTTTTCTGCAACAGAAAAGGAACATAGAAAAAAAATTGCTAGGAAAATTCATTATTATATTCTCAAACAGATTTATGAGAAAAAAAAACAGTAAGAATTACCCTGGTTTGATTTCACCCTGTTTCCGTAGTGCACTATATCTCGTTGCAATAGTCAACGCTTTTGAGAGGTAGGCTGCAGCAATCCCTCGAACAAGTGCCACTCGAACAAAAATCATAGTACCATATGTTAATTTATCGCTAGGCGAGTTGACATAAGTTCCATCCTGAAATAGAGAGTAGAAACGATGAAAAATATTTCTTTTTGAGATAACTTCTCAAAAAACAAGACAACAGGGATGAATAATTTGGTAGATGGCAGTTTGCAACATAATCGCTAGGCAAAGATTATGGGGAGGTGAGTGCTTCAGAAGCATAGCAAGTTAAAAGTAATTTTATTGTAACAATTAGAATTAGTTTGAATTGTTGATTAATTGAATTATTGAATGGAGTCCACGCTAAATTAGTTTATTTACAGAGTGCAACAAAAAGTCAGCTGTCTTCAGTTCAGCATTGAAAGTAAATACAAGAATCAAAATGGCGGATTTTTGGGCACGCTCTAAGAGTCTGTGAACTTATTTGGCTTAGACTCTGAGACAAAATGAGCACAAAAATCCAGAGTAAAAAAAATCATAGGCTGCATTAAAGTTCTAGTAAATCTGAAAACAATAATTACAGATCATCACATTTCTTTTGATGCTTGGATTTAATTTTTGTGCTTGCCAAGTGCTAACTCTACTATGATGAAGGCTTAAATAGAAACAAGTAAACTTACAGGTAAAACTTTAGAATTCTTCATTAACATGTTTTCACGAGGAATTCGTACATTTTCGAAACCTAAATAACCATTATTAATTGTATTCATTCCTAATTTTGATCCTATTTCTCCGATTTTGATACCTGAAAAAAGGAAAATGGAACATGATAAGATGGACTAATTTCAAGCAAAAATCCTACAGTAGATTTTATAGTTTTAGTAACTTGACTTATAGTACAGTATCCTAACAGTACTGTAAACTATCTTAAATGAATATGATTAATTCTCATCAAAATAAATAATCCCAGTAAATCTATAAAACTGAATTTCATAGAACACAACTGTCTTAGAAAAACGAAGGGAATGGAAATTAATCAAAGAAAATCACGGTGTCTGAGGAAATTTGGAAAAAAACGTGCACATTTTTCTGACAACTGGATTCAAGTTGCCAAAGGGATCAAGGCAACAATTATTATCAAGCAATTATATACTTGAGAGAGTCAATTTAAGTTAGCCCTTTAAATATGAGTTTTTAAACATTAATTATGGTTAAACCAAATTTTTAATTTAAATCGCGACTCTCTAGATTTTCTTTATCTGTAGACAAAGTTGACTATTGATCAGAGGAGAACAATATTCCTTGAAATTTTCAAGGATCATTTTTCACAACGAAAGAAAATGTCCGAAAAATTTTCAAGAAATGATGTCAAGTATTTCCCATTTAAAAAATCAAGTATGACAGGCAGTCAGCACCATCAAACACGGAGATACGTGTTCCTGTCATCGGCAATATGTGCTAGGTAAATAGAGTCACTCGGTAATTCACCTGGTAAAGGCATGTGTGTTTCTTCATCCCTCAATTGAACGATGAAAGGATGAATACCATGACACTGTCCTTTGGTATACAGTTGTGCAACAACAACAGCATAATTACACGTATGTCCCACTGTAAAAAAAAAAATTATAATCAAATCAGTTTAACATTACAAAATTAAGTAAAATTCTGAGTCCTGAGACATGCATTTGACTATCAAGATGATAGTCAATGCATTAGAATCTTAATTATGCACCATCAGACCATTAAAGTACATGGATTTAACATCTACCTCTTTCAACTATTTTTATTAAGTATTCACAATTTTCCAAAAAATAATGTATTTCTCAGACACCTTGTTAGCGAGGGTGAGTAGAGTTTAATTTTACTTTTTTCATAATTTTATTCTCCTTAAAACATGTCACCTTTCTATCAAGTTGTTTTTTTTATTTACTTATTTTTTAAAAATAGAATTAAGTCTTTCAAAATGATTTGTTGAACTAACTGGCACTTTGAAAACCTAAGTATTAAAGAATTAGTGGCAAAAGGCAAAAGAGAAACTTACAACCACCAGGCCACCATTTATAAGACGTTAAAGTTGGGCTATTAAAAACAAATTCTTCTGTGCTGGGATCATAAGTGGCGGTTGTCTCCAAACCTCGAATAAAAGTTCCATGTCCTAGCTCAGTCTGAAAAATATAAAATGTATTAGTGATCATCAATGAGGAAAAAAGTAGCGAGAAAAAACACTGCAAATATGAACCCTGTATATAATAATTCATCAACATTTCTATGCATATGAGCTTTCCCGTTTTAGAAATTGAAGATATTTCAGTCTGCTGGGGTAAGCCCCAGCAGACAACCAGACTTAAAAACGGATTTCTATCCACAAAAACTTACTTAAAGCTGAGTTATTGATACCAGTATATAGAAGAGAGTACTTTGAACAAATTGGGATAAAAATGCTCAAAAGTGTCAGACCAACCTTGAGTTTTGGAGTTTGGACAACTGAAGGTTACACTTAAAAAAACGCAATTTCCAGGAAAATTCTGTATGGTTTAAGTTATTTTTGCCTCAAGAAAAGTGCTTCATTTACCTGAGCATAAGTGCACATAATTTCACAATTCCATGCTCGAGACACCCAATATGCTTGCTGCTGCATGGTACCTTGACCCATGACAGTAGGTAGGAACATCACATAATTTAGAGCGAAAGGAACTCCGTCCGGAAGTATAGCACTGCCTAACATTCCACCAAGGATGTTTCTGTGAACAAAAAAGAAAAATATAGGTAACAAAACATAAGTAAGTAAGTAATATGATAAAACAGTGGAGAATGGAAGAAAAAAAAATTATGACCGCAGGTAGAATGGTAATTTTGATAACTCATAGTTTTATTGAAATTTTGTAAGACTCCATTTACTTATTTTCTTGACAGAAAACTAAGCAACATTCTGGCTTGGAATTCATGAGTTATATTTTATATATCTTAAAGGAAATTCACAAAAAGTTGTAACATATTATGTAGCTTAGTTTTTTTGTAAAAGAAATAAAAAATGAGGGGAAATCAGGCAACATGAAATGATAAGTGCAGTTTTTGAAAAAATTGGGTAATTAATGATTTCAAATAAAAATAGTCTTGAAATATATTCTATGAAACAATCAACATTTAAATCAAATTTTGAGGCATTAAAAAGTGAGTTTAAGCTTTCTTTTCGCCATATGACACCATGTAATTTTTGAAACTTACAACTCGTAGTTCTTGAAATAGCAAAAATTGCACTTATCCCACTTGTCTTCCGAACCCCGAAAATACAGTTGGGCTGGTTTCGGTTAAAGCCGTCCAGTTTGCGATGAAACACTTTGAAACAACTCTTCTTACTTATACTTTGATGCCAACTATAGTTACACGGCCCTCAGTGAAGAAACAATAATCCTACTTACTGGAAAGTGTCCATTTGGCTTCCACAGCCTGTCGTATCCGACCATTCTTTTATCTTCTTGAAGAGCAGACATGATCTCCTGAGAGCTTCTTGGTATTTCTCTTTGTGACTTAGGTACTCGGAAGGAATTTTTTCTTGCAGCTCTGGGTCGTCTAAGAAGAATTTCTCTGCAACAAATAAAATAGGAAACGATTTTCAAAATTTATCAAACTGGCTATTCGACACGGCTCACATATACCGGGTGTCCATAAAGTAACTGAAAAGTGGGTATAACTTTTGAACAAAAAAAGATAGAAGGTCGCGGTTTGTGGCATTCTTCATCATCCAAAAGGGGAAATTTTTCGATGGGGGGCTTTTCCTGGTGGACCCCCCTGGGGGGCCCCAGGGGGGGCAACTTCAAAAATTCAAATGGCAACCCCCATTTTTTTAGACATGATTAAAAAGAACTTAAAAAGACAAGAAAAATGGCGCAAATAAAATTAAAATCGGTTATTTCGTTCAAAAGTTACAGCCGGTCAAAGTTTTAAATTGACCACTTTTCAAAAAATTGCCGATGAGCTCCAAATAATCGGAAAAACAAAAACAAACCGGGAATGAAAAGTTTGAAAAGTGTTTTTCAGGAAGAGGAAAAACAACTGACGTTGTCACAAGTCTGGATGGCATTGTTTCAAAATAAAATTTCGGAAAATTCAACATGGCGGCAAATTTGAGGAAACGCAAAAAATGAAAATTCCAGAAACTGTTATCTTTCAAATACCCTCTAGTTTAAGGAAATCAAAGGTATCAACTTTTATTCCTTTATTTGGCCAAGTAAGAGCAATAATTTGCTGACTTAAAAGTTGTCAAGCGGGGCGCCTTCAATCGTTGGAGTATGCGACATCACAGGATTAAGTGTGCTGTCGAAAAATGAAGCCGATGTGAAAAAGCGCTCCTCCTTTGGGATGCTTTAGAAATGTTTGAGGTCCTCCTCCTCAAATTTAACGAGAAAAAAGAAGAAAAGTAAAATTTAGCAATTTTTACCCACAAACTTGGCGAGCCAAAAAAACATGATTTTTCCTGGTGGGGTAGGGGCGGTGGACATTTATGACATTTCTATCTCTGAAAATTAAAAATCCAAGAATAATTTTAATTCTCTAACTCCTGGCACTCCAATTTGGCAAGGAGGATATCTGCTACGCTTCACCGTGTCACCGATCAGATAGTGCATCAGATGTTACCGAAAAGATTGGTGTCTCAAATCGTAAGGTTGAGACTGTCAATAAGATAATCTCAATTCAGATAATAATCAAGAGTAGAACGGCGTCTTCGGAATTGGAAGCGTAGCAGATATCCTTTTTGCCAAATTGGAGTGCCAGGAGTTAGAGAATTAAAATTATTCTTGGATTTTTAATTTTCAGAGATAGAAATGTCATAAATGTCCACCGCCCCTACCCCACCAAGAAAAATCATGTTTTTTTGGCTCGCCAAGTTTGTGGGTAAAAATTGCTAAATTTTACTTTTCTTCTTTTTTCTCGTTAAATTTGAGGAGGAGGACCTCAAACATTTCTAAAGCATCCCAAAGGAGGAGCGCTTTTTCACATCGGCTTCATTTTTCGACAGCACACTTAATCCTGTGATGTCGCATACTCCAACGATTGAAGGCGCCCCGCTTGACAACTTTTAAGTCAGCAAATTATTGCTCTTACTTGGCCAAATAAAGGAATAAAAGTTGATACCTTTGATTTCCTTAAACTAGAGGGTATTTGAAAGATAACAGTTTCTGGAATTTTCATTTTTTGCGTTTCCTCAAATTTGCCGCCATGTTGAATTTTCCGAAATTTTATTTTGAAACAATGCCATCCAGACTTGTGACAACGTCAGTTGTTTTTCCTCTTCCTGAAAAACACTTTTCAAACTTTTCATTCCCGGTTTGTTTTTGTTTTTCCGATTATTTGGAGCTCATCGGCAATTTTTTGAAAAGTGGTCAATTTAAAACTTTGACCGGCTGTAACTTTTGAACGAAATAACCGATTTTAATTTTATTTGCGCCATTTTTCTTGTCTTTTTAAGTTCTTTTTAATCATGTCTAAAAAAATGGGGGTTGCCATTTGAATTTTTGAAGTTGCCCCCCCTGGGGCCCCCCAGGGGGGTCCACCAGGAAAAGCCCCCCATCGAAAAATTTCCCCTTTTGGATGATGAAGAATGCCACAAACCGCGACCTTCTATCTTTTTTTGTTCAAAAGTTATACCCACTTTTCAGTTACTTTATGGACACCCGGTATGATGTGGTAGGCGTGATGCCAAATCTCCATTCCTAGTCCCCCCGCAAGGACTCTCACAGAGGCTAAAAACTTGGGTCATAATTTTAAGGTTTCAGGACATTTTGTCGACGATTTTTTGTCCGCGCACCTTTTTTGTCCAGTAGTTTACGCCCACACGTAAAATAAGCAACAGTGACTTGGTCCAAGCGTTATATTTTAGTCGGTATGTAAAATTATATTGACAATATGGAAATGAGAAATTAAAGCCGAACAGAGCGGAGTGGCGCGGCACGGCGCGGCGCGGCGTGCTGCCAGCGCGAGAGGCTCACCTGGCGCCTACAAACCTAAGTGGATACTTCACGCATTGCACAATGCTTGACGTATCCACTTAGGTTTACAGGCGCCAGTGCGCGTTTCGCGCTGGCCGCCCGTCCGCCGTGCGGCGCGGCGGCGTCTGAAGCAACTATTTCACAACAGGGGTGTTGCACAGTATTATACGAAATTAAGCGTATTAAGAATAACAGGCATCCTTTAAAAGTACAGATCTTTCCTCGCAAAATAAATCATGATACTTATCGTACACAGGAAAAATCTAAGAGCCTTTAGCTGAGGCAAATACGGATGTTTATCCGGTCCATGTATAACAAGGTGGGAATTTCTTGAAAGATATAATTAAGTCCTGTTACACCAAAGAGGTGTAGAGAGTTTTAGTGAATTTTGTCTCATGGAATTGACGCTCCCCCATTTTTACCAAAACTCTCAACTATGTATTATTCTCCGTTGGACCAAACAGACAAAACAAAAAAACAAGCAAACCCTCATTCTTCCAAGACATTATACATTTTCATCCAAAAACGTCGTGAGCAATTGTCGCTTATATTTACATGTGGGCCAATTAACTTTGGGTCTCAACTGGCACGTGGACCAAAACTCCGGTGCCGAAAAAACGCGTGGACGTAAATTACTGGAAGAAACAGGTGCGCGGACAAAAAATCGTTGACGAAATGTCCTATAACCAATTTTAAAAAATCGAAACAGGCACGGTGGGTGGGGTTTGTTTACAGAACATTGCCGAATCTGCCGAACACTACACTTGCCGATATTAGGATTCACCATCGATATGGGGTCATTCAAGTATTGCGTTAGGCATTTGGACCGATTTTTTTAACACCCCCCCCCCAAGTGCAAAATCTGCCCAATCATGCGATCTGCGGATTGCGAGATCGGCGAGGGAATTTTTGAAGGTGAGGAAATTTTCCTAGAAAACGACACCTAAAAATTTTTCGGGGAAAATGCCGACAGTCTATAGTCTATAGATCTTTTTCGACTTTTTGCGAGACGTTTTGAGCATTTCTGACAGCTACTGCGCAATGTTCTCTTTTCATCTAGTGCGCGGAAGAAAATTGTTAAGCACAAGTGGATCGCATTTAGCAGAAAAAAAAAAAAACCAGCGCGATTACAGTGTTTTCAAAATCGTGCAACTTCTTCTTTCCTTTTAACAATACTCAATATATGTACAGTATTAAAATTTACACAATTTTTTTCCTTTAAAATTAAGACTTTTGGTGGGGAGCAGAAACGATTTGCTATTCTGGGAGATTTTTCAGATAATTATGAAGAAGCAAAATGTTTACGACACTGTTATCGCGCTGGTTCCTTTTTGCTAAATGCGATCTAAGTGTTTGAAGCTTGCAAGGAAAAATTTCCCTCGTGTGAGGAAATTTTCGGAAAAGTGAAGAAATTCTCGTCAGAAATGAGAAACGGCGCCGCGAATAAACCTTCGGTGATATTCCGACGATTCATCGATCTTTTCGACTTTTTGGACTTCGAGTCTGTGGAGGGAAAAATTCCCTTTGGGAGGAAATACACCAGACCTGAGGATCGCATGAAACGTTCGGCAGGACGGCAATTTTTACCCCCCCCCCCAATGAAGCACCCGTGAGACAACTACATACCCCCTTCCACAAATTTTTCAGAAAATAGGAAAGGAGGCCTTAAAAAACCTGAAAAAATATTTGTATTGAAAAATATCATTTTTCCTAAAAGTTGGAGGGTCACGGAAGACTGGGGTCCATCCCCCTCCCCTCTCATAAGACCCCTCGAGATTGACGTAAACCCCCTCCCCTCTTTTGTAGCTGACGTATGTAACGCTTGAACTTCCCTCGGGTTCTTCTTCAAAGATCTCCCGATGCAGATGTACCTACTTCTTTCGTTCGAATGCGTTCATTTATCCCCATGGGAAGGGAAACTCCTCTGTTCTGCCGTGCTAAGAAAAAACGTCGTATGCGCCTTCAGACGTTGCCAAATTCCCTCCAACAAAATATTGATTATCTGAGAAATTTGTTAATATTTTCCTTCAAGTTTTTTAGGGAATTTTATTTGTGATCAGATCTAAATTAACTAAAATTTCAACAAAAAAAATATTCATAACACTCCTCAAAACGAAGCATTTTAATGTAATACATCTGGCAACTCTCGAACGTTCATACGACGTTCTTCCTTAGCACGGCAGTGTTGTTCTGCGCTAGGAGGAGGGGCCGAACGGTACAAAACACACAGCACACGCACCGACGGCGGTAATGATCGCGTATTATCGTTTACGTAAGTCGGTAATTAATTAAAAATTGAGATTGACGTTAAGTATGTGATGCTGTGTTCTTCTCGCGCTTGCAGTGCGTCCTCTACACGTAAACGCTTCTTGACGACAGTCAACGGCACATGCACATCTTCATAAGTTCATACCGTCTGACGTATGGGAAAGCACCAAATATACGTATCTACCAACCAACCATACCTCGATTTCCGCATGAGCCCCAGGAAGCATGGAATTAAGTATATTACAGGGCTCAAGTGAAGATTAAGATACGCCCACTTGTCAGGAGAGCGATAATACAATGCTCGTGAGCTTTTTCTACTATCATTCACGT